TAAGTGACCAAACTACCTTAACAAAGGGATTCACCCAAATCCAGTGATGGAAAATAGTTTGGCTGTCCATGTAGTTAGGGCCCAGTGGTACCTGATGGGAACAAAGGCACGTGGAAATTATTGTTTTTCACAGAGACTTGTGTTCTTTCACTACTTTTTGGGTTTTTTTTCCTTAAGATAAGAACTCCGAGAAGAGTTCTTTGTCCTTTGACAAGGACATTTCATTGTCCTTTTCCAAGTATATTTTATTGATTACTCTTCATTTGTGTGGAATAGAGAGCTGGGTGTCAATAGGTTCGTTCAGGCAGTAGGTAATGAAGTGCTGAGCAGATGAAGGTTCTGAATGATGATTTTTTTCTTTTGACAAGCTGAACAGCTGTGGATGGTGCACTTAGCATCAGAATTGGTGTGTTTGACTGTGTGTCATTTTTAACAAATCATATATTGATGCTTCTGTGGTTTTGGATCTGCTTTTTGACAGCTAAATTTGGACAAGGCTGAATAGAAAAAAAAATGTCCTTGTCATTTGGTACTAGAAGCAAAAACAGTCATTTTGTCATGCCAGTCACTAGGTGAGCGGCTAATTGGGTGCCTGGTTGTTCCTCCTAGTTCTGTGGTGTCCACCGTGCAAAATCAAAGAGGTTGAACCTGCAGCAAGAGCAAGTTTTCTCTGTGTATAAGTAAACTAACTCCGTTCTCTTGCCCCCGCCGTCATGTTTGCTTTATCTGTTAACGTGAGACTATTTAAGTGTACCTTTGGGAGACAGAGGTGGGATCACAGGTAACTTTGATATGGAGAGCTGGAGGAGGGCTGCTTTTTAATCTCCCTCCCAGCGTGTACTGCAGACGCCGTCATGTAAACAAACATTGCTGGCTTGTGACTCAGTCCTGTGCAAGCTCGGCCTGAGATCTGCACCCCTGACGTGCAGGGTACAGGAGAGAGAAAAATTTGACGGGACGCTCTGTGGAGGAATTGCCCATGGCATGGGGCACGCGCCTCCTGGTTGTGCCGGTGCTCTCGGCATTCCGCACACTTGGAGCTTTGGGATGTTCGGCTTCCATAGGCCGTAGTGTTGGAAATGTCTCGTTTGAACTGCTAATTAGGCTTTGGTTTGTGCTGAACAGTAAATATTTTCCTGCTTATTGTGAAAGCCCTTTGCTTTGGTCAGGGCTGTCTTTGTTCGGCTGAACCAGCTTTGGCCGTCGCAGCGGACGAGATGGTTTCCAGTCTTCCCAAATGCCGCAGCATGTTCATCCAGTGGCCGTGCGGCGGCTCGGGAGCGAGCACCACGTGGGTCTCCTCGTTGGCCCGCAAAGGGGGTTGTGATTCAAGCTGGCAGCCTGGATTCGGCTGGGGAATCTGCCCTCGTTTTTGAGGTAGGCCTGTGGGCCGTTCAGATTGGGAGTCACGGCCTGTTACCTCAGGGCGGCCGCCACCTTGAGTGTAACGGTTCTGTTCAACTCAAACAGCTCAAGTGATCTTGAATTTAGTTTTCACCTTGATTTGCAGTAAATGCAGAGTAAAACCCCTCTGATGTTGCACCTCATTTTTAGTGCAGTTTATTGACAAGGGCAGAAGGAGAGTTGTTTCTCTCTGTAGTTACTAGGATGGCTAAGAAACGGCATGATTGTTGCTAGTCTTAAGCTATTCTTGGGCCATTTTATATCCTATAAGCAGAGGAAACTGTGAAGGCAGATTGAGTGGAGAAAGGATCCCAATAAATATAATGTTATCCAGATGTCTTTCGTTCTGTTAGTGTCTGACTGAAGGGTAAGTTGCTGAAGTGTGGAATTTAGTACCGCAAACTATCCAGCCAAGGTCTTAGCAGCAGCTTGATAAAGATCCACTGAAAACTGGGAGCTCTTATCTTTTAAAACAAGAGGCAATAATTGTTTTTATGGGAATTTAGAACAAAAACTTTCTCCTTGGGCCAATTGGCTGTGATTAAATATGTTGTTCCTTTTCTGTGAAGATCTGGGACTGCCTGCTTTGAAAGACGTGGCATTAGTTGAGATGATGAGCCTTGAATTAGATCCAACATGGTAATTCCCATTTTTTCCCTTCTCTGCAAGTGTGATAGGTTTTTGCAAATCTGGAGAAATATTTGGAATCTGAATAGACTGGCACCTAACTTAAGCTGGGTGTGTTTTGGGACAAAGATTTTGTGTTTTCATAAATCATCATACCCATTGTTATTGTATTCATATATAATTATAAAGCAAAAGGTTCTTTTCTTTTTAATTATAAAGCAGGAGATTCTTCTTTTTTCTTTTCTTTTTTCTTCTTTTTTTTTTTTTTTTTTCCTTGCGGAAGAGAGTTGTATCTGACAATCCTAACTGTAGATGTGGATAGGCCACCATTTGCCATATGGGCATTTCATGGTTGGTTTTACCTCAGAGCCTTTTCCCTTGTTCAATTAATTGGACTTCATCCTGTGTTTTCTTTCTAATACTGTTCCCTTAGGGTTTTATCCCTACCTTCACAAAGGTGAAGTTTAGAACAACAGACCTTCCAGCCACCCTCCTATCTTTTGTGCCATTTTGGGGCATTTTTGCCCAAAAGAAGGGGAAAAACCACAACAGACTTAATTCTCTCCATGAGCACATCTCCATCCCGGTTGCCTGGGTGCCGGTTGCGCTCACCCAGGTTGTGCTGCTCTCTCTTAGGACAGCCCTGTGACAAGGAAATTGCACAAGCCACAATAGTGTTTTTCAGGGAAAACGGGGAGGTTTTGTGGTTTTGTGTATCACTGAGCTGCTGCTGAGAGTCCAGTGGTTTCCCAGGGCTGAATTGGTTCATGTGCAAAACTTAATGAGCTGCCAAATGCTCCTGAATGTCAGAAAGTCCTGGGGAAAATGCACGTTACGGAGCATGGCACAGACAGAAATGTATAGACAGAAATTCATTTCTTTGGCTTACGGCATCTCCCGGTTAATTTTCCATGAAGATTTCTTCCCTTCCTCCTCCTCCGGTGTTTCTCAGACTGTGAAATGATCAGCGTTTCCCTGGAGGCGGATAGAAGCCCAGGTTAAGGGCCACAGGGATAATAATTGTGTTCATTTTCTGGAAAAAGCTCCTTAGTGCATTGAAACCGGGGCTGGCTTTTCGTTCGGTTGGTCTCTCTGTCTGCTCAGATCGCGCAGCAGAGCTGCTCATCTGACACGCTGCAAGACAGGGCTGGCCCTAGCAGCCTGCCCGCGAGGACAAGATGAGGGAGGGAAATAGTTAGATAAACCTAACAGGAGCGAAGAGTAGAAAGCCAAGCTCAAACCAGGAATTTTTATGGAGAAGTAAAGCTTTCACAGGAAGGTGGAAATTGCAATCATTAGTCAATGCTGCTAGCATAATGATTTATCTGACCTGGACGGCAGTGAGTGATGAGGTTTGAGACGAGCAGGGATGGCAGCAAGATGAAAACGTCCCTCAAGCTGCTGCTATCGCAGGCCAAGAGCTCTTTTGGGTCTCAGGTAACCAGGCGGCCTGTTGAGCTGTGAGCTTTAAAGACCTTTGGAAAGACCTGCTGAGATTTTTTTTTTTATTATTTTTTGCTCCTTTCCTCCCAAACCAGACATTTCACATTCAAGGTCTGCTTGTGCACGGAGGCCATTTATAGCCCTGGCACGTGGCAGTTTTTACGGAGTGGAAATTTTTTGGCCATTGTGTCACTTCTGGTGCGGGCCCAGCGGTGTTTTTCCTGGCGGAGGGCAGCCTCCCGCCGCAGCGCGCGGAGCGCGGCAGGATCCCGGCGTGGGGCTCATCCCCGGTGGCTGCGTCCCAGCCGGTGCTGCAAAACACATCAGCCTCATTCCCTGCCCGGTGGCTCCCGATGTGGAAGCACTGGGAAAGCCGTGATGTCGCCTGGGCACTCGGAAACGACAGATAAGATCCCCAGCAAGAGGACGTTTGCAGTGCTCCTCGCTAACCCGGGAGCATTAAGTTGTCTGCCCTGCCTATGTAGGAAGTCTCCGCGGTGAATCTAGGCCCTGCTTACAAGTCCCGTGGTGGATCAGTGATTTCTGCCCGGGTTTGTGCTGCTTACCCTGTTGGGCTCACACGTGAGCACGCTCACGTGCCCAGCTTTGAATCTACCTCCCATGGCTTCGGCTGCTTTCACTGACACCAAAATGATTTTGTATTTTCCCTGGAAGATGTTTTCCTGCACTTTATAAAGGGAGCAGTGCCTTCTCCCCTCCGTTTTATACATTTAAGCATTCAAAGGAGAACGGCTTTTCTCAGCATTAATAAATTTATTATTGATATGGGAAAGGTGTTTTTCAGTTACAGCTGGCATTGCTAAGCCCTGCAGCAGGTATCCTAGGGAAAAAAGGGGGGAAAAAAGAGCAAATAATTTGCATTCTGGCTGTGTACAGGCAGATTAGTTAATTTAGGTCAGGTGTCTCTACGTGACGCTCATCGAGCACTCGTTTGCGGCGCCTAACAAATTTTTGAGCATGTCTGCCAGCTGCTGGAGAGTGGTAATTACGGTCAGCCCCCCTCCTGATACGAGGTTGGGTCTGACAGTATGGCAGAACTACGTGTTTTATGTAACCTCGGTGCTCTGCTTGTTCTTACAGCGGGAATCAGGGTAGTCAGCCAGTCCAAAATGTTGCCCCTGGTACCGTTTTCTGTGTGTTCGGTTATTGCCTCCCAACTCGCCATGCAGCGCGAATCCTAGGATTTGCAGGATCAGGAAGAGGCCGGTTGCTCTGCGTACAGTGTAACGTAAGGATCACGATAGGGAGCACCGAGTGATCCAGGGTGACCAAAGCCTCAAATAACCCAGGACATCTCCAGAGGGGCAGCCTGTACCTGTGGGTCAACACAGTGATTATATAAGCCACACGCCTAAGGGGAGAGCTCCCCTGCTTTAGTGAGTCCGGTGGCTCATAGCAGGGCTCGATCCCGCGTTTTCAGCCTGGCCTGGTTCCTTGCCCTGTAAAATCCACGGCAGTGAACCAGCGGGCCGGCTAACGGCCCGGCGCCTCCTCCTTTCCCGCAGGCCCTTCCTGCTGCTGCCGCCGCTGGTGGAGTGGATGCGCGTGGCCATCACGTACGCGGAGCACCGGCGCAGCCTCGCCGTGGACAGCGACGACATCCGGCAGACAGCCCGGCTGCTGCTGCCGGGGCTGGACTGCGAGCCGCGGCACCTCAAGTACGTGCGCCCCGCACTATTCCTGCCCTATTCCCTGCTCTGTTCCCAGCCCTGCTCTATCCCTCCACCTCCTGCTCTCTTCCTGCCCCGCTGTCCTGAGGAAAAGCAAGCATTGCTCTGGGCTGGGATGTGCTGTGAGAGGAGCAACGCTGTCGTTTTGCTGCAGGATAGATTCAAATGGTACAAGAAAGAGAAGGGTCTCGTTTGCGGTGCCCATCATGGGATCTTTTCCTTTAAAGGGTCATTTGTATCTAGCAGTTAGAGCACATGTAAGGGAAAAGCAGCTCTTGGAATTCGAGGCAAATCTGTCCCTGTCTTGCTCTGTGACAACAGGCAAATTGTCACTAGTTTTTCATCGTTATGCGAGAGCTTAAAGTCATACGATGGTTTTCCCTTGCAGCGCTGATGCTTCAGGTAGGAAGCACTGGCGCTTCCAAAAGAGGAGTTGTACCGAAGACCAAAGTCCTGCCTGTATGGCCTGAGATTCAGAGACCAAGGTCATGCCATGGTCAGCTGGAGGACGAGGATTTAATAGGGAGCCTCATGGAAATGTTAATGCGCTGCCTCTTACTGAGGCGGTGGAAAAGAGCTGAGAACGCGCCATCACCTAAACTTCATTTTGAAAAAAAAAAATTCCAGAAATAATGTAAAGCACTATTATCTTCTTTCGGAAATGGCTTTTATTTCAAAATAATAGCTAGCCTGGCAGACAGACAGCATAATTGTTCCCTCGCAGAACTAGGCTGGTGTTTTCTGTGTATATACTTTCTCTCCACCTATTTCTCCTCCCCTGAATTTGTTTTTATGTATCTCTGATGGCTATCATTCTAGAATAAACATTTCTTTGCAGCAAATACACATCATATATAAACCCATCCCCAAATGTGCTGCACGCAGCTAATGACTTATTTAAAACAGCTGCTAGATGGGGGAGGGTGGGAGAAGCAGAACTAATGAAACCCGATTTCTGCAGATTTTCGTCCTGGAGGGCCCATGCCTCCAAACGAGCCAGACCCATAGAAATGTGGTCCTTTGCAGGCCCGAATGCTGCTTCAGCTCCTTCCGGAGGCTGGACGCCAAGGCTGCCACGGAGCGATTCCAGCAGGACCTGGGCTTCCGCATGCTGAACTGCGGCAGGACGGATCTCATCAACCAAGCCATCGATGCGCTGGGACCCGACGGGGTTAACACCATGGATGATCAGGTATTCCTATAACGGAAGGCAAAGGTCCTGTGCATGCACCACATGGGTGTTCCTTGTGCTTCAGTGGAGCAAATGGATGCGCAAGGTGTTAGCTCTTGCATCTCCAAGGCCTGTCTAATTCTACTCTGCTTTTAGTTTGAAAATTTATCCCTGAAAAAAGTGTAAGATGAGGGTGAGTCGTTTCTCTGTCAGCTGGATGCCACCCCTGGGGGAGGGCAGGTTGATGCACCCGCTGTGGATGGAGAGTCTGACCATGCCCGTCATGGTCCGTGGTGAGGCCAGTGCCAAGGCTTCCCGGCGCTGCTCTCCGGTTCATCTGCTGGGATGCAGCCCGGGCCAGAGGTGAGCGAGCAGGAGGTGTTCCCGGCAGTGTCCATGAAGTGAACTGCAAATGCTCAGTCAGTTTGAGGGTAAGACACAGGCAGAACGCCCTGCAGTGCTGGTGCTGCGTGGTAGCCCTGGCCCATCACACTGGGGTGTCTCTATTTTCGTTTTTACGGCGTTCTCTGCTCGGCTGCCTTCTAGCAGGGGCACGGGATGGTTTGCAGAGCCTTGAGCTGCTCTGCCTGCGCTGTCAGTCCATCAGACAACAGCCGAGGCTGCTCTCAGGGGCATCACTCACTGCATTGCATTAGCTTTTAATTAAAACAAAGCCACCTCCCCCAATAAACACTCATTACAGCTGTCACAGCAAGGAGAATGAGCTGTCGTTTCGCGAAGGCACCCTTTGTTTGGCTGAGGTTTTCTTTTTTCTTTTTGAAATCTCTGAACTTGAAAAATCAAAATGGATCTTGAGGTGCAAGCAGGGCATGCAAAACCAGAACGGGCCGGGGGGCGGGCAGGGCCGTGCACGTTGTCCCCGTGAGATGTGACGGCAGCAGGAGCTGCCCGCACGCGAGGGCCGCCCGCCGAGGCCTCCCCTGAGCGCAGCAAGGGGAACAGGCACCAGACAGACACCCCGCTCCTGTTTAAAAGCTCCCCACCTTTGCAAATGTCCAGAGCTGCCCCAAACGCACCAGGACAGGAATTGTTCCTGCTCTGAAGGACGCCTTTGCGTCCTCACGGGGAAACTCCTCTCTGTGAAGCTGGCTTGTGCTGTACAGGCCAGGCCCCTCTCTAAAGATGCAGCTGTATCCGCGCCTCATGGGCAGTAAAGATGCTGCCTGTGGAAAATATAAAGTTTGCAAAATAATTAAGGGCAGGAGAAAGCTCTAACAGGTGAGCAGGGATGGGCTTTGCGGGGCCATTTCCTTTCTGGCCGTGGCTGCCTCTGGAATGAGCTCCTTGTAAGCAAGGCTCGTTTCTCTGCTAATGAATCTCTGAGCCCTTGTGGTTTGTTGCTTAAGGGGATAGAGAACAAGAGAAGAAAGGGACAGGTATTGATTTATGGCCAGGGGATGCTGAAATGTCATAGCAAATAGAGATAATATTTGCCAAGGGAAGTCTCCGGTGTGTGCTTGTGCTCTTTTCTGCCTTTTGTTCCTGCGTCTACAATCGACCCAAGAAACGGTCCCGCGGGAGCCTCGGGGCGCTCCAGCGCGGTGGGTGCCGGGCAGGCCGGGCTCGGGGCCGGCGCCCGGCGCCTCTTGCAGCCCTGGCCCCTGCTGCTCGGCTCGCACCGAGGCCCTTCCTGCCGCGAGCCCGGGCTCCGGCAGCGGCGCGGCTCGGGAAGCAGCCGCCGTGCGGGCGCTCGCGGCTGCCCCTGCGTACACACACACACACACACACACACACACACACACACACACACACACACGCTGCCGTCCCCCGCAGGGCCTGACCCCGCTCATGTACGCCTGCGCCGCCGGCGACGAGGCCATGGTGCAAATGCTCATAGACGCCGGAGCCAACCTGGACGTGCCCGTGAGTGCTGGCGCCGTCGGCCGCGCGGGGAGCCGCAGGGGCCCTTTTGAAGCCTCCCCTGGCCTGGGGGGGCTGGAGGGGCACGGGGGCTCCCGGCTCCTGACGCCCCACCTCGCGTGCCAGGTCCCCGGCCCCTCTCCGCGCTGCCCGTCGGTGCACCCCGACAGCCGCCACTGGACGGCCCTGACGCTCGCCGTGCTGCACGGGCACATCTCCGTGGTCCAGGTAAGCAGAGCGGAGGCCCCAGCGCCTGCACGGGCCCCTTCCTTGCAGCTTCCAGAGCCCACCTGAAAAACCCTCATTCAGCAATTGCTCTTGGAGGGTGATGTCTGGTGTCCCCAGAACCCCCGTCTCGGGGCAGTTTCTCCTGCAAAACGAGTGATAGGAGTGACGGCACTTAGGGAAGCCGGCTCCGTGTGTGGCAAAGCCCGAAGCTGCTCTCAAAGCAGGAGGCAGCGCTGGCCCCCAGGGCTAATTCCCTGAAGCTTCCCCGTTTCCTGTGCACAGCATGAAACTAAATGAGATGGAGATCCTGTGCTCAGGAGCAGCGCTAGCCTCCGGGCCCGCTGGAGCTGGGGGATTACGCTAGCAAAACCGCGCTCCACATGGCGGCTTAAAAATAAATAAGTAAAATATTTTCACAAAGAGAATGTTTCTGAGATTCCATCTGAGCACCTTTCACCAGAATAAGTTGATGCGTAAAAGCTCAGTACGGACAGGACGAGAGAGCAGGAAAGGCCCGAGCTGCCACTGATGGGAGGCCTCGGCCGTGGCGGGAGCGCCGGGCCTGGGGCTGCCCCTTCCTCAGCCCCTCTGCGTCTCCTGCAGCTGCTCCTGGACGCCGGTGCCCACGTCGAGGGCTCTGCCGCCAGCAGCGGGGAGGACAACTACGCGGAGACGCCGCTGCAGCTGGCGTCGGCGGCGGGTGAGTGCCGTGATGCGCCGTGCCGGGTGCCCCGCGTCGGGTTCTCTGGCTCCTGAAGTGCGAGCCCGGCCGGGGCTGGCGGCACTGACAGGTTACCAGCCCACGAGCCCGGCCGGGGCTGGCGGCACTGACAGGTTACCRGCCCACGAGCCCGGCCGGGGCTGGCGGCACTGACAGGTTACCRGCCCACGAGCCCGGCCGGGGCTGGCGGCACTGACAGGTTACCRGCCCACGAGCCCGGCCGGGGCTGGCGGCACTGACAGGTTACCGGCCCACGAGCCCGGCCGGGGCTGGCGGCACTGACAGGTTACCGGCCCACGAGCCCGGTCGGGGCTGGCAGCACTGACAGGTTACCGGCCCACGCAAGAGCTGATGGGCCGCTACGGAGCGTCTGCTTTTGCCACTAGCCCCAGCTCTCATCTCCTGCCAGCAGCCTCCCCGGCAAAGCAGAAGACTGAAACACCTCCTGCTTTGCACAGGGCACTGCAAAGAAACTTAAAACAACTGCTGTCTAGTCTTGGATCTAAATAACTTCCAGATGTGGAAATTAGCAACGAAATCCTTATGTTTCTGTCTTATTTTTTCTTTCCCAGGGAACTACGAGCTGGTGAGCTTATTGCTCAGCCGAGGCGCGGACCCGCTGCTGAGCATGCTGGAGGTGAACGGCATGTCGCCGTCGCTGCACGAGGACATGAACTGCTTCAGCCACTCGGCAGCGCACGGACACAGGTGCAGCCCCGCTCGCGCCCGCACCGCCGCTCTAGCTGCCCCCCGTGCCCCGGCCCTGCCTTTGCAGCCCCGGCCCGGCAGCAGCAGGTTGCAGGTCAGCGCCTCTCGGGCTGCCCTGGTGCTGACACTGCCGCGTTGGAGCCGTGTGGGGAATCAAACCCTTCCTTGAGCCGCGAGCTGCGTTCTGTGACATCCCTTCCTGAACGCTTGCGTAAGCCTTGCCTTGCTCAACAACTAGAATGTTGGAAAAAGAAAGGGGTTACGTTTTAGTCGAAGGTACCAAATGCAAAAGAAGCATCTTTGCTTTTTTTTAATTATCCTATTTGCTGGTCTTGCCTGGCAGCACTAAGTAAGAGTGAATGGGGGTTGGTTTTAGGCCATACATGAGCAGATTATTAATTAAGGTTCACGTATGGATAGATCATGAAGATAGTGGTTCATGTTCTGAGACACCATCACGTCACATCAAGTGGCCACAATAACCTGGAATGAATTTGGTTGACTGGATCTCTGGTTTCTGGATGACTGACCGAGATGGGTCATTAAAACAGGGAAAAGCCTGTTTGGGTTTTCCATCCCTGTCTGTGTGCAGGGTGGTTATTCTGAAATGAGATGTTACTTAAAAACTCCCCTAGAAATCCTTCCAAGTCTCTTTCCCAGAAGAGAGGGTAGCAAACGAGCCCCGTGAAGCGGGCGCAGGCCGCTCGTGGAGCAGAGCAGCTCCCTGCCCTGCACACAGCCCCGCGTTGCGGGGCTGCCAGAGCCGCACAGCACGCACCCGGCACGCTGCAGAAAATGTCCCACATTCAGCAGAATCGGCCTAATCCTGCTATTTGCAGCATCAAGCTCCATGCTGATCTGTTCCCAGCTCCATCCCCATCCTCATGTCTTGTGTAACGTGCAGCCGGGCACGCAGGGAAGCTCGAGTCTTGTTCCTGGGTGTGCAGGGCAGGGGGCACCGGCGGAGCCTCAGGGCCGGGGCTGTGGGGTGAGCACCAGCTAGCGGCCGCTCCGCCACACGCCCCACATCCCCGGGGCCCCTGTGGATGGGAAGGGACGGGATGGGACAGGATGTGTCTGCTGCAGGTGGCCCCAGCCGCCCCCAGGGAGGCGGCGACACAGGCTTGGCCAAGGTGCTGTTCGGACACAGTTACGTTTCTTGTGACTGCTGGGTGAAATTCCAAACCCAAAAAGTCTCCCTGGAATTAATGATGCACAACTGTCATGTTTTACGGTTTCACTTTACGGATGCAGGAAGCAGGTCTGACTGAAACAACATAAGAGCCCTTGAAGATGGTCAATTGGGGAAAAAGCAGGGCTTCTATAGCGGACCCTGTGGTAAACATCTCCCTTTAGAGCGGCGGGTCTGACCGCGCTGGGGCCAGGCGGGAGGAAGCCTCTTTCCCTGCCGCGGGCTGCAATGCCAAGGGCTCTGTGGCGGCGCTCGGGGCGCCGCTGCCCGCAGCTTGCTCAGCAGCCCGCTCCTGTCCCGCGCAGGAACGTGCTCCGCAAGCTGCTCACGCAGCCGCAGCAGGCCAAGGGAGACGTCCTCTCGCTGGAGGAGATCCTGGCCGAGGGCGTGGAGAGCGACGCCTCGAGCCAGGGCAGCGCCGGCGAGGGCCACGTGCGGCTCTGCAAGACGAGGACCAAGGCTCTGCAGGAGGCCATGTACTACAGCGCCGAGCACGGCTACGTGGACATCACCATGGAGCTGCGCAGCCTCGGTGAGCGCTGCTGCTGTCCTGCCCTCCGCGCGGGGCCTAACCCCAGCTTCAGAGCTAGCCCAGGCCTACAGGCACCAGCCGTGACTTAAGCCTTCTGCAGCTTAAATGAAGTGCTGTTTGAGGCTCCTCACAAGCTTTCTCAAATACGTGGGGTGCCTGTCACCTCTGACAAGCTGGCTCCTCTGTTGCCCAGAGCCAAAAAAAGGGGCATTTCCCTTGCTCACGTGACCCGACATCTAAAACTCAGTGCTAAAGAGGCTAGTCTCAAAAGCAAAGCTAACACGAGAGATTAAATGGTTTCAAGGTATTATTCAAAATAATACCTTTGATCTACAAGTAGAAAATCCTTTCGAAAATGTAAAGCTTGTGTGCTGCTCCTTATTAGTATCCACGCACAGGCGTCACCCTTGGCTGTCCTTTCTGCTTCGGCCGCAGGGGTCCCGTGGAAGCTGCACGTGTGGATCGAGTCCCTGCGGACAACTTTCTCCCAGTCCCGCTACTCGGTGGTGCAGACCCTGCTGCGGGAGTTCGTCACCATAAAGGAGGAGGACTACAACGAGGAGCTGGTCAACGAGGGGCTGCAGCTCATGTTTGATATCCTCAAAACCAGCAAGGTAATCATTGCCTTTGCTTACAGTACCAAAACTAAGTGCTTGAGCCGGGCCTTTCGCTATTACACACGTCACCACACAGCAAAGCCAAGTTAAAAGACTATGCAAGTCTTCTAGTGAGCTGTGGTATAAAGGTGGCCCTATAGGGTTTATCTCAATTCCACTGGCAGGAAATCACAAAGGGAGTAAAGCCATTCATTTCAACAAAAATGAAGGCTAAACTCTCATTTGGCCCCTGGCTTTTGAAATCAAACAGGACAAGTTGTCAATAAAAATATCAGGCAATTCAGGTTACAGGTTCAGCATCTTCTAGGAGTTTTTCAACACTGCTTTTGTTCAGCACCATTTGTTTCTTTCTGTTATTTTATTTGAAGGCTGCCTTTAGCTGTGCTTTCCCTTTTATCGACCATCTACAGAAAGGGTTTTATCGGTGGTCCCAGTTCAGCTGTCTCACCTTGCCGCCACGCTCACCTGGTTCCTCCCCATTCTTTTCCGAGAGGCCGTTCCCCTTCGTGTGAAGGGGACAAGGAGGGAAGGGGGTGGCTGCATCCTGCCCGTAGCAGGCAGGCGAGCAGCTGGGGGAGCCCAGGGGCACGTGCGGCTCCCCATCCCTCCCCACCTGATTTCTACAACACAGGACCCAACAACTGTCCTTTAACAGCAAGAGGCACCAGCTCCGAGTGACCTCCCCGAGCCCTTTTAAACCTGATCGCTGCCGATGCTGACAAAGCCTGTCCCGTCTTCCTTGCAGAATGACTCCATCAATCAGCAGCTTGCATCCATCTTCACCCACTGCTACGGCAGCAGCCCTATCCCGAGCATTCCTGAAATCCGGAAAACGCTACCAGCTCGGCTAGGTAAGTTGCTCACCTAGACAGCGAGATGCTTGTGGTCTGTCATTCCAAAGCACCCCGTTTCCCCTAAGGTACAAACAAAACCATAATCTCTCATATTTTTTCTGCCCCTACCAGACCCTCACTTTCTGAACAACAAGGAGATGTCTGATGTGACTTTCTTAGTGGAAGGAAAGCTGTTCTACGCGCACAAGGTCCTGCTGGTCACCGCGTCCAACCGGTGAGTCGTGCCAGAGCTAGGCACGGATTGCTGGGCAGGGGTTAGTCCCTTGTGCTCCCAGTCACTCACAGTGGCCCAAGAGCCAAGGGGAAGCGCCACTGGCTGCCACTTGGCTCTGCAGGATCAAGCTGCATCATCTGGGCTCATTGCAAGAGCAGCGGGAGAGTAAGAATAGCTTCTTCTAGCCCCTCACAGGGCTGTGCTGACATAAACCAACCAGTAATTTCCCCTGAAAACCTTGGGCAGTAGCTGCAGTGCCCGTATCCAGCTGCTCTTTCAGAGGCCAGATGGAAAAGCCAGAGCTGTGCTTGCTCCAGAGGTCCTGGAGCCTCTGCCCCAGCCTGCTGTGCTCTGAGCAAGGTACCAGGGCTCTGCAACTGTTACGGTGCGAGACGGACCCGAGCCCAGGCAGCTCACAGGCTGCCCTGTCCCTGGAGCTGCAAGGTAACTGCCGCTCGATAGGAAAGGAATGTTTGGGTTGCCAACTGCCAGTTACAGAGGTCTGTCTTTATTCTTCTCCCCGCTTCAGCTGTTTGTCAATAGGTAGCAAGGATTTGAGGTACTGCATTACAGAAATCTGTTAACACAAATCTATTAAAACCATTCGCAGGTTTAAGACCCTAATGACCAATAAAACAGAGCAAGACAGCCAAGGCAGCAAGACTGTTGAAATCAGTGATATGAAATACAATATTTTCAAGGTATGTAACTTACTCCACCTTTCCTTCACTCTTCTCACCTTCTCACATACTTTGGAAGCTAAGAGGGCTTCAGATCAGCGATAATTCTGCAAGTAGAGACTGGCTACAGAAGACTCCTGTGCTCTGATCTGTACTGAAGCTTTCAGCTAGGAGCAGCCTTGGGACAAAGAAGGCCAGCTTATATTTTTATTTTATTACTAGGCAATTGACTCTTCGTAAAGCAGGACAAATCAGTCTTTTACTGAACGTAGCTGTGTACTTGCAGAAGGGTCACAGGCACAATTTTCATGCTGTGTTAAGCAAAAAAAGGAAGCCTAGTCAGAGCAGCAGGACTGCCAAGGTTCGTATTAATTCAAATCAGATGATCTGAAAGTGATGGTGCCCCTTTCGAGAAGGGCCTGAAATTGAGAATTTCACTTTGCTTTTATGACATTTCTGTATTTAAAGGACCTAAGGGAGACTCATTCACGATGGGGAGAAAGTCGGGTACTTAACACACAACCAAAGGAAAAAAAACCCAAGTCAGTGAAATGTGATAGCTAAAAGTTGTTCCAGCCTTTCTAGCTCTGCATTTCAAATTACAGAGAAGGGGAAATGGGAAAGTGCAGAAAAGCTGAAAGCTTGTGTAACTTTTCACCACAGGGCTGAGGATTTTCCTCTGTTTTTCTCTTCGTACGATGTACCTAAGCTGCTGGGTAGCAGTAGAGCCTCCTTTCCTCGTGGGAATTAAGTTGGCCCTAAGAAATTCTTTGCTGTACTGGAAAGGGGCTGTGATAGTTTGGCGCTGTACAGGCAGCCTCCAACCTCTGCAGCTCAGCCCATGACCATAGAAAAAGGGGAGGAAGGATTAAAAATATTTCAACAAGCCTCCTTAGAATTCTTTTACATCAAAAGGTTTCTGAAGATAGGCCTTCTTACACTGGGGACAGCAGTGACTTGAAAAGAGTGAAGGCTTTCATAGAGACAATTTGATGTTAAATAAAATGAGGTGAGTTAAGGAGATTATGCTGTTCTATAGTCATCTCAGTTAAGCTGAAGTGAACCACAAGGGACCTTTAGTCAGCTCCGGGATGTGCTGGGAAGCAGCTTTGCTTCCCTGCACTTCCATTACCTGAACAAGGAAAGCCTGGAGCAGCAGTGCAGGAGCCGCTAGGAGTGGAAGGCCGGGGCTGCGGGGCTGGTGCTGCCTGCAGGGCTTCCCAAGGCAGCTGGCACAGAAGGCATCTCCAGGGATGCTCCTGGCACCCAGAGACGTGCTGTCACCCCCCGCCCCAAACCCTCAACGAGGACAGAGCACCAGAGAGCAGCACGTCTGCAAACCCAGAAAAACGCGGCAGCAAGAGCCAGCGTGGCCAAGAGCCTGGGGAGTCCCCTCTCCGTGTGACTGCCTGACCTCCTTCCCCTTTCAGATGCTGATGCAGTATTTATATTACGGAGGAACAGAGTCTATGGAAATTCCCACCACTGATATCTTAGAGGTAAGCCTGAATCCTTCTACGTCTCGTGGGTGCTGTGGTATAAGCAGGGCTCCAAAGGCAAAACCCAGTAGCTGTTCACAAGCTTTCCATCTAGTAGACTCACAGCTGTGTTTCACAGCTCAGAAACACAAGAGCCTGGAAATATGAACAGCTACCAGTTATTTTATAGTACATCAATGACAGGCTGGATAAAAATACATCACTACTGTGCTACTGGTTCCAAAGTTGCCTAAAACTATCCACTGAACTTTACCTCCGTAAATCAGTTCTTTTCAACGTGATGCTGTATGAAGCAAATAAGCAGTTAGGCTCGAGAATTGTTTTTCCTTACAGGTAGGTTAAACTAGTCCATTATCTAGGCATGTGGTAGCTTTTCTGCTCTTCCTTGAGGACTTAGGCATTAAAAAGGGAGCCGGATCCTTCAGGGAAGGTAGCGTTGGTGCTGCTTGCCTTCCTCCCTAACCCCTTCCAGGCTCATGATCTCTCATGGCTTCTCTCTCGTCCCCATAGCTGCTGTCAGCTGCCAGCCTGTTCCAGCTGGACGGCCTCCAGAGACACTGTGAAATCCTCTGTGCCCAGACCATCAGCATGGAGAACTCCGTCCACATCTATAAATACGCAAAGGTACCGGCCTTAGCGAAGCAGTTTCTGCAGGCTGCTTCTGGGGACCCAGCAGCACCCGTGGGCACCCGCGGGCTGTGCTAGTGACGCCCAGTGCGTGCGGCTTCCAAAGCTGCTCACCTGCCCACTAGGCCGTTCTGGTTAGTGGAGTGGTAGCTTTCCTCAGACAACGACGTGCACAGGCTGTGAGGAGCACGAGGGGGGCTGCTCGTGGTGGCGTTTCCAAATGCTGAGCTTTAATTTCATAGTTCTCCCGTTGCTGAATCTCCCCCATGATGCTGTAACAAAGGGAACCACATCAGAGCCAGAAGGCCACCTGATGTGTTTTAGTACTGCAACTGCCCCGTTTTCCCACATTCAGCATCTTTTTCCAGGAATTAGGCTCACATCCCACAAGCCATGTCCCTGCTGGCACCCGCTGCGTGCCCATGTGGAGGCACTCACTGTTTGCAGCACGGCACAAACTCCCTGCTCACCCAGAGAGATGGTACCCGGACCCTTTGGCAGCTACCTGCTCCCTTCCTCCACGGCCTCTGCTAAGGGCATGAGGTGCTCAAAAAGCTCTGGTGCTGCACGGGTGTAAGCAGAGCAGGCAACAGCAGCAGCGTGGGAGCCAGGCAGCACAAGTCCCACACTTAGTCCCATGTTCTCACTGTTACCATGATCCTTCCCTGCACTTTCCCCTTTTCCAGGATGGGTTAGGGCAGCGCACAGGCCCTAGTGTGGCCTTTAGTCCGCGCCGCGCACACGGCTGATGGGCACTGTTCTTTCCCGCAGATTCACAACGCGCCCGAACTGGCCTCCTTCTGCGAGGGCTTCTTCCTGCAGCACATGAGCCCCCTCCTGGAGCAGGACTCCTTCAAGCAGCTCATCTACAGCCGCAACAGCAAGGTGCAGGGGCTGGAGCCGCTGCGGGAGCTGCAGGCGGCGCTGGCCGGGCGCCTGCACTCGGTGTACGTGAGCTCGCGCGTGTGAGCGGCGGCGGGAGCGCTCCGAGCCGCGCGGCACGGCCGGGCCGCCCGCCGCGCTCGCCCCTTCCTGCTGCGGCCACGGCAGCTCCCCGGGCTACGCGCGCCCTGTCCGAGGAACTGGCACGGACAGGAACTGGGGATACAAACGGAGAACCCGGCCCGAGGAGAAGAGCGAGGTGGCTGCTTCAGCACGCGCAGGGCTGCGGCGCGGGGCGCAACCGGCCTGGACCTACCCGGCACCTGCACTGCCGGGCAGCCGCCTGGCCACGCACCTGCAGGCGTTACCTGCAAAACACGGTGCTTGCTCATGCTCTGGACCACTGCCCTCGCAGCAAGCCCTCTGCCCGCGCAGAGAGGCCGCTACACGAGCTGCTGTGTGTCTGGCTTCCCCTAGAAGCGTCTGCACCTTGTGAGAGGGAGGCTGTACATCTACAAGGCCGGGTAGGAACTAACTCTGAAATCGCTTGTTCTGCACCTACTTGGTGGAAGTTTGCTGGGGCAGGGAGGGGAGAAGTGTTGGGGGGTTTTGTATTTTTTTAATATAAGTTCACTGTGCTAGTTGTTACTCTGAATCCAGTTTGAAAAAAAAAAAAAAAAAAAAAAAAAAAGGCTCTCTACCCTTTTAGTATAAAGGTTTGATAGTCCAAATAACTTCCATTCTCAGAACCTGTTCATGAATATCATCTCTGAGACCTGACACCTTAAAAGACATTTTCAAAGACACTCAGGTGTAGCAGAACTATTGCTGTGCTAAAGCAACTGTCCCAGTAGCATAAATAGCAATAAACTCTCCTTAAGACCATGGGGAACACGCAGCCTGATGCTTTGTTCTCCCTGTCTCTCCAGAGCTGGTTGGGATCAGACCCTGTGTCCTGTCTTCCCAGCCCTGCTTCCACCTCCCCATGCCCGGGATGCTGCTGCTTCCCAGGATTTCGCTACCTCAGGGGAGCTGCGCCCCCACCCCTGCACAGCCAGCCCCAGCCCGGAGAGGGGCTGCACCATTTGCATTCAGGTCGAGGAACTGTTTAACACTGATACTTCTCCTTTGCTCACGTGTTTCTGTTCAAAACTGACTGACTGGGGCCTTTTTGTCCATCTGACTGAAGGGAACCAAGAGGCGAGGCCTCACGCCGCTGTTTCGGGGCACACGTGGCAAGGCAGTTAGCTGCGCCCAGGCACCCGCCCGGCTCCCACCAGTAGCTTAATAAGACACTTTCTATCAGTTACGAGCAAGAGAAGGAGGCGAGGCGGGAGAGTGTCCCATGTGCAACTACTGCTGCTTGCAAATTTAAACATGACCATGTAACCAAGTGCACCGAAAGAAAGTGGCTCAGCTGGCCCAAGCGCCAGCATACACGGGAAGAGGAGCAAACTCCAGCATCTCCCACCACATCTGCCAAAGTCCCCTCTCCCCTCACAAAGGTTTTACATCACGGGCAGACTGCACGCAAGGAGAGTTAGTCTAGGATCAGTAATGACATACAGAGAGTTGGTCAGAGCATGCTCCAGTTTGTGTTTCAGCTACACCCACACACACACACTTTTGAAGATCCTCAGCTTAAATAACCCTATTTATTATCAGAAAGCCATTAGAGGTGTTCTAAGATTATCACTGGTTTGCCTGAAATAGCACAAAGGGCTTTATCCCGGAAAATATTTTCAAGTAGCTGCTCTAGCTGTCTGTAAAGAAATGTAGGTTCTCTTTTGCTGCTGTACTATTACGTGCTTTGTTATTTGTACATTAATGTTGTCATTTATGTAAATGTACCAGGATTTTATTAACAATTTTAAGATACACAGCTGCTGTGTTTATTCTGCTGTTCTAACAAGAAGAAAAATGGTATTTCAACACACTTCTATAGAAAAGGCAGTTGTGGTGTGAGCATTTTTTTTCAGATAAATGAAACTAATTTTATGCTTTAAAACAAGCCATAGAGTCATTTATTTCCCTTTCCTATGCTCAAATAGTTTTAGTAGTACATTTAAGTAGCATTTCTCCTAGCCTAACTGTCTTGCATAGAAAAGCAGCAGCCATCAACATCAGAAAGAAAAGTCATAGTTTTAGCTAAGCTACTACCTTAGCAGAAGGCCAGTGGGCATAAGGCAGCTGTGACCTCACAAGTATTGAGTTAGTCCTCAGACCATAAACATCGGCCTGGGTCCCGCAGGCTGACAAGCTAGCGGGACAGGGAGCGGGTGGCACGTCCCTTCCAAGTCTCTGCAGAAGGAATAGGGCTACAAGGGCCCTGGTGGGGCCAAATCTTGTAGAGCTCTACAGCATTTGGGGTTAGTGGCCAAAGTGGGATTTTGGATGTGGTCTCCAGCTAGAAGAGGGTTTAAATAAGTCCTTAGGCTGCTGGGCACCCTTTGGCAGAGGAAGCCACTAACACCCGTCCTGGGCTGCTGAGGACCCGGTCTCCTAGTCGCATCCTCCTTGGCTCCCTGGCCTGCTCACAAGCATGCAGTGTGCCCAGCAGGGCCTGGGGGTGCAGCAAGCAGCAGCAGCCAGCACTGTGCTAACCCCGTTCCACGAGCACTTCTTAGCCTCCGAGTGCCGTGATCCAAGAGCTCTCTGCTGGCAACGTACGTGACAGAGGGGCTTTCTCACCCGCTGTGTCCTGCACTCCCGGCACAAGCAGCCTTGCTCTCGAGCACTGCGGCACACAAGCGAATCCCCGAGGCGCCCCGGCAGCACTTTCACACTAGACATAAATTAAACAGCAGCTTCTCCCCTAACCAGTTGCACACCCGCTTCGTTTTATACGGAGCACTACAGTAACACGGCAGAGTTGGCCCAGCTTTGAGGGAGACACCAGCTTTCACAGCCATGACCGCATTCAGTCTGTGAAACAGAGGCAAGAGAGCTCATAGAGCTGCCTGTGAAGACACTCAAAAAGCCTTTCAGCCTAAACTCAACCCCTTCTGCTGTGCCCTAAGCCTCTGCACAGCAGGCGAGCCCTGGCTAACGCAGCGCTGCTCCTGCCTGGCCCTTTGCCCTCACCAAATGGTACCTGCGCCCGGAGCGCGCTGCCAGCGCGGACAGCCCCTGGGAAGCCCGGGCTGCTGCTGCCACCATCGCTCGCGGCAGGGAGGAAGGCTCAAAGAGCTCGGGATTTGGTGCCGGGGAGGTTTCAAAGGCGAGCAACCCATTCACCCACAGCAGAGAGACTAGACTATTGCACTCACAGCACACCTTGCAGAAGAAGGGGGCAGCAAAAGGGCTCCTGCCCCGTGAGGTTGGTCACAGGCGCAGCACAGCAGAAGGGCCCTGCGAGCAGCGACATGGCCTGGCCCTGCCCCGGGCTGGGGGTCCTTTCCACGTTGCAGCTTTTCCCGCCGTTTGCATCCAGAGGCCGGCTCAGAGGGCTCGCCTGAGCTCCCTGCCTCACGCACGCCCTCGCCGGGCTGCTCTACACAACACCCACGCGCAAGCAGCGCTTACCTAGGCACAGTCCGTGCCTTGCTGGGGAGGGGAGTGGGGAAAAGCCCCGCTTCTACCTCTTGCTTTTCTGCCTTCCACAGGGCTCGCTCCAGGCTGTGGAGCCAGGGCAGCCGGGAGCACAGGGCCCAGCAGCGGGGAGGGCAGCGTCCGCTTGCTGTCCCAAGAGCCCACGGCACCCAAACAGGCAGCCCCATTCCCCCAAGAGCCAGGCTGAGCAGCCGGCAGCACCGCAGTGCACAGCGGCTCCGCAGCCCGGCAGCGCCGCGAAGCTGCGGGCCGACCTCGCTGCTCCAACACGGGGCTGCCCAAGGCGCTGCCCCGCCAAGGGGATGAGAAAGGGCGGCTTGGAGCAGCGCCAGGCTCCCTCGTGCTCGTGCGGGACCCTCTGCAGAGGGGAGCCTGCGTACACAGTAAGAAAGAAGAGCTCCTGCCCTAGGGGAGCCCCTGCTAGGGGAACAGCTAACCCCACAGACCCCCGAGCTCGCCCTCTCCTCACCCGGTACCGCGCAACACGCCCGGCCACAGGCACGGGAATTCCGGCTTTGTTCTCCGACTGCCTTCAGCTAATCCATACTCCGGCCCAAATTTTAACCTTGACTGATCTAAAGCACAGACAGGGGATGATGTGGTTGGACTAGACTTGTTCAAAAGACTTCTCACTTACTTGAGTATCCGAGTGCTTTTTTCCATTTTGCAGTTCAAAGAGCAATAGACAGGGAGAAGGATCCCAAAGCTGCCAGTAATCATAAAATGTATGCGGAAAATTTTTAAATGAATCATTTGACTCTGAATACACCTATTTCTATAGAAATAGCAAAATTCTGCTTAAATAAAACTCTCCCTCTGGCATGAGAGGTATGTTCATTAATAACATCTACAAAATCCAAGTGAAAACAAGCAGCTCAAATTCTCCAGGTCTTTCACTGCAACTGCAGCACACCAGGTCACAGCAAACACAAGTAACTGCAGCCTATTCACAGACAGCAGCAGAGGCAGCTACCAGGTGAGAAATGAAATCCTGGACTTCCTGAAGAATCCAGGTTAACTGTATCTGCTCGCTTCCATATTGTCCTACAGAGCATTTACAAGAAGTTTTGCCAGACTACTGATATGTGCACAGACCAGCTCCAGCCTGACCCAACAACACAAACACTTGGAAGGGAGCGGGGGAACCTCTCCTTTTCCATTACATTTCACACTGCTAACCACGATGCTGTGCACAAGTAATTGCTTTAGTGGTTAAAAAAAATAAAGATAATAAATAAATAAAATGACCCCACTTGTCTTACCCTCTTTAGTTCCAAAAAGCAGCCTGCACCTTTGAACACACACAGATGCAGGGGGGGCTAAAGCCGGGCTGCTGACCAGGGCTCGCTGTTGCCCCGCTGGCAGCTTGGCTCCCTGACAGGCTAACACACCCTCCCAGAACCCTGCCAGGAGGGTGGGAGCCAAAGTTTTTACAACTGCTGCCTACTTGCACAAGTCCATGTTTCCCAAAGCACCCAGATAGCCCCCAGTCTGACTAAAGGCTTAGAGAGCAGAGCTTCCTGCCAGCCCCAGCCCAATGAGGCCTCCTGGGCTGTGCAGGTCACAGCTCTGGCGAGGAAGCCAACAAGTTCGCACAGTTTAACAGCTCAGTGACACACAAGAGCTTCTTCCTTTCTTTAATACAGATCTGAGCTTCTTTAGAGCTTCTCAGACATCTAACGCTCACCACAGCCATTGAAAAACATACAGGGATTTCAACAGCACAAGGAAATTTTGTAGTAAAACTTCTCTTAAATATTAGCTTTGAACCTATTAGAACAACCAAAGTTTTTCAGCACTCCTGAGACTTCATTGTAATTGGCATCACTTCTGCATTATAAGGACATTCAAAAGCAGCATTTTCTTGCCACAAGAGGTAACATATGATAGAAAAAGCCTCTCATATCATCACTTACTAGATAAAAAGGCCCACAGATGTTAAAACACAGCACCTGGGTCAACAAATCCAATAGTCTGCAGAGGTCAGAGAATCTAAGTACTTACACCTGCTGCATAAGCACTGAGTCTCAACATGCTTTGAACGGACTCTGCAAGTATTTAATATTCAAGTATATTTTGACTTGCAACCAATCAGGCCACCACCAAATCTCTCCAAGCAGAGACTATAAAGTAGACAAGTCCATGTTATTCCTAGTAACCACTTGATACAGATTCACAGAATATTTAAGGTTGGAAGGGACCTCTACAGATCATCTAGTCCAACCTTCCTGCTCAAGCAGGCACACCTACAGCATGTGGCACAGGGTGGCATCCAGGCGGGTTTTGAAGACCTCCAGAGTAGGAGACTCCACAACCTCCCTGGGCAGCCTGTTCCACTGCTCTGTCACCCTAACAGTAAAGAAGTTGCTCCTCACCTGGAGACGGAACTTCTTATGCTTCAGCTTGTGGCCATTACCCCTCGTCCTATCGCTGGCCACCAGTGAGAACAGCCTGTCCCCTTCCTCCCTGCACTCTCCCTTCCTGAACTTATACATATTAATCATATCCCCTCTGAGCCATCTCTTCTCCAGAGAAAAAAGGCCCAGCTCACTCAGCCTCTCTTCATACGAGAGATGTTCCATTCCCTTAATCATCCTGGTTGCCCTTCTCTGGACCCTCTCGAGAAGCTCCATGTCCCTCCTATACTGGGGAGCCCAGAACTGAACACAGTGCTCCAGGTGCGGCCTCACCAGAGCTGAGGAGAGGGGCAGAATCACCTCCCTTGCCCTGCTGGCAACGCTCCTCCTGATGCAGGCCAGGATCCCATTGGCCTTCTTGGCCACGAGGGCACACTGCTCACTCATGGTTAACTTGGTGTCCACCAGGACTCCCAGGTCCCTCTCCGTGGAGGTGCTTTCCAGCAGGTCCACCCCTAATCTGTACTGGTGCCTGGGGTTATTCCTCCCCAGGTGCAGGACCCTGCACTTGTCCTTATTGAACCTCATGAGGTTCCTCTCTGCCCAACTCTCCAGCCTGTCCAGGTCCCTCTGGATGGCAGCAGAGCCCTCCAGAGTGTCGGCCACTCCACCCAGCTTGGTGTCATCTGCAAACTTGCTCAGGGTACATTCCGTGCCCTCGTCCAGGTCATTGATAAACAAGTTGAACAGCACTGGGCCCAGTACTGACCCCTGGGGGACACCACTGGCCACAGGCCTCCAACTGGACTCGGCCCCATTTATGACCACCCTCTGAGCTCTGCCACCCAGCCAGCCCTCGATCCACCGCACCGTGCACTCGTCTAGTCCACTGTCCCGGAGCTTCCGTATGAGGATGTTATGGGAGACAGTGTCAAAAGCCTTGCTGAAGTCAAGGTAGACAACATCCACGGCTCTCCCCTCGTCCAGCCAGCCTGTCACCCCATCATAGAAGGCTATGAGGTTCGTCAGACATGACTTCCCCTTGGTGAATCCATGCTGACTGCTCTTCAGCAGCTTCTTCTCCTCCATATGCCCGGAGATTCTCTCTAGGATGAACCGCTCCATCACCTTTCCAAGGACAGAGGTGAGGCTGACCGGCCTGTAATTGCCAGGCTCCTCCCTCTTGCCCTTTTTGAAGACTGGAGTGACGTTGGCTCTCTTCCAGTCCTCGGGCACCTCCCCTGCTCTCCAGGACCTCGTCACTCCAGTTCCTGTCACTCCAAGCAACTACCAGTTCCTCGTCACTCCAAGCACATCTTCACGGTCCTTCCCACAGAGAGTTAAAGACTGCAAACAACTCTGGACAATCCCTAGAAAACCCTTTTACAGCCGTAACCATCCCTCCCACAAACATCACCAACTCCAGAGGTTTCTCTATCAAGTTAAGCAAGACACCAGGAAACTGCACCGTCCTACAGGAGTGCACAGGAAATGCACTTTTCTTATGCCAGACTTTGCAGCATTTTTTTTTCACTCCACTCTAGCTCTGCCCCCCTCTCCCACTGTGGAAATCGCTTATCCTCCATTAACAACAACAGCAAAACCAGAGAGAACTCACACTTTTTCTTCTGAGGACTTCCCAGGCAGTTGTGAAGGACTTCACACTTCTCCTTTCCCTACTTTCTCCTTGCACCTTTTCTTTAGAATCCCTTGAGACCACCACCTCACCCTTGCAGGGCTGCTCCTTTGGTACAGCTGCAGGTAATCAAGCCCCTCGTTAAGCCTTTACCAGCTGCAGCGCTCCCACCTCAGGGCTCAGCCTCTCCCTCTGGGGCAGGTGCTGTTGCTGACTACTTTCAGACTGCCCTGTTGCCCAAAGGGATGTATAGGCTGTGCTGTGCAAGGCCTATCCTTAGGCAAGAGGCTTCTCAGAAAAGAAATGCTGCCTTTAACTGGGAAAACAACCTGTCTCTTCAAGCATTTCTTAGCAAGAGGACCTCTTGAGATCTACAAGCAAATTAAATGCAGCAAGCAGTATGTGCAGCCATGGGTAAATCTTGTTTCCAAACTTATAGACCGTACAGCTGGAACTTCAAGCAATGCAGCAGGGTGCTCCTGTTTGGGACAGGGATAGTCTGTGTCAAAGACTAACTCTGTTTTTCAGGCCACTGGATGCAACAGACAGCAGAATTAGAGTATTAAAGTCACAGAAAGACTAGCACCTACTTATTGCCAAGTGGGAACTATGGATTAGAGGCAGAAACTGTGGGCTGGCAGAGCTGTGGAGCCCTGTGGCTCTCCTGTTTGATCCACCCTGAGCACAAGGAGTACACTACTACACCTTGGTGTCATAGTGCTGATGTCTCAGTGACACTAACACAAATCTTTCCAGCAGAGCCAAGCAGCAGCTCTAGGTATGTATGTAGCAAGGCAGAGAGGCTAGCAGAAGCAGCTTCCAAAGCATCTGATAATCATCCAAGCCTGAGAACTAGGAAATGTAAATGACCGAGCCACCCGAATGCTGAGAGCTTGTAAGCAAGCACGAGTGCAAAAGAGGAGCTTTTCTTACAGCTCCTTACAGAGCACAGTAAGCAGGAACTGTAGATTGCCATCAACAGAAGTGTTCATTGTATGGCCTGCGCTCCCGTGAGCTGGGGCCACATCAGCTGATTAGCGAGCCCAGCGTCTCAGCTGCTTTCACACAGGAGCTCCCTTGAGCTACAGGGAGCGGCACTGCTCCTGCACCAGGAACCAAAGACAGCGAGACGGCAAAATGCTACAATGTGAGAGCTGCATGACAAAGCCTAACACATTTCTACCTTTTGTTGTTAAAATTCATTTTTTAATAAAGACACTAACCAGCAAGATGCAGGAGAGTTTACAGATTGATCTGCTTTGACTGAAAGGAAACTGTAGCTGCTAAAGCACCCTTATAAGATCTCAATGTACATCTGCAAGCTCTGCAGTCCCACTTCATAAAAATCTCTATAGACTGTCTCCTGGCAGTATCACTGCACTTCCCTTGATATAAACCGCTTTTTAAAATGTCTCTAAAGCTTTTTTCCCTCCCCTCTCCCTCCACTCCAAAGGAAGTCCTTTGCTTTGAAAGGAGAATAGTACTTCTTCAGTACAGACCCGTCAACCATTAATTCAAGTTCACTGATTGGCTTCAAAGTCATTTCTTCCACTTCTGCTTTGTATCTCTAGTCTTCTTAAACTTCTTCTGTTGCTTGGGTCCTCTGACTGTTTCCAGCTTTCTCTTCTTCTCACTGGGAAATAGGAGAAAAAAACATATCTGCTAAAATTCACTCAATGCATATAAAGCTGGGCAGCTTTTCTTGTAAAAGGTGGGGAGGGTCTCAGCAGAAATGGTTGCTTCAAGCCTCCCCAAAGAAAGTGCCTGGGAGAAAATTATTTCCAATTTCCTGGATATCTTAAACTAGTGCTAGAGAAAACGCTAACAAGACTACAACCTACACGTCCTAGCATACTGAGATTCTTTAACGCAACTGGAATCTCATAAGGGATTTGGATTTTTTGCTTTTCAAAACTTACACGCAAGTTGTAGAGAGCAGCTGGGAGTGAGAGTAACAGGAAAATAATTATTGACAGTTGTAAAACTAAGTATACAATTTTTGCACTAGATTCTGACCAAAACAAATATGACAGAATTCTGATTTTTTTCATGCACTGACAAGAGTCCCCTTTCTCTAAGCCTTCTAGAAACCTGGAGCTTCTGTCGTTCATGAAAAGAACATGAATGCACGAAAGGTGGGAGAGAGAGAGATACAGGAAAGATCACATAATCACTTCAGCTGTCATGCACCACAGGAAGGGAAAATGAGCAGGCAAGTCCCAGATATAAATCCTCAAGGAAAAGAGGAGGAAAGGCTTCATGCTGAGCAAAGTGAAAGAAAGAAGATGGGTGAAAAGAAAGGAAATGCAGAAAGGCAGAGTTAACACTTTGCAGGCTTAGCTCTCAAATTTGAAAGAGTTCTCCTTCCCTGAATGTGTTTTTTTCTCCTACATGAATATTCACAGGCTCCCACCCAGTATCAGCTCCCAAAGCCATACACACTGTTCCAAGTGGGACTCTAAAGAGAAATGAGTTCTTTCTTTAAAAGCTACCCAAGAGAGAAATGGGACCAGCTTACAGCAGAATCAAGACTTAACCATGTGAACAGAAGACAGCTATAATAAGCACAGAATTCACACGAGCACTTTCCTATTAGAGGAACCACTGAGTACCTAGCAGAGCTCTTGGGTGTTCCCAGCTCAATTTATCCAGGAAAACTGGGACCCAATCAAGAATATTAAGTCCACTTTTATCTGCATTTAACTCCTTAGTTTCACCGTTTTGCAAAACACTAAATCAAAGCCAGCTGGAAAGAGCCGAGAAGCCTCTGTAGAGTGAACATTTCAACTTCCCTAACCTTTTCAAACTGACGATGGAAGCGTTCTGTCCTGCTTTGCTCAGCACCTCATTCCATTCTTCGTCATCACCCCGGATAATATACCTAAGTGGAAAAAAGCAAAGAAATTCAAATAAAATTTCCAGCCCAAAGAAGGGAAAAATACAGTGATTATACTATAATTAGCATGTCAGGCACATGTTACTCTACAAAGGCACCAACTCAGTGCCCAGCCAAATTAGTGTTCAGAAATAAAAGCAAAATTAGACTGGCAAGGGATATAATAGGTTGTCATGACTGCGTCAAGAGGCTCAAGCCAAAGTAGGTCGAGAGCAAGCAACAGTTGTCTCTATCCTAAGCCAGCCAGGGACAGGTGAAGTTCCTTCAGGAGCCTCTATTGTAAATGTCTCAAAGGGTGCAGAGGAGAGCCCCTCTGCAGAGAGGGCAGTGCTGAAGAGAGGGCGTCTTTGAGGAGGGACAAAAACAAGGCCAGCAAGGTTATACTCTCCATATCAGCCATGTATACTGCTGCTTCTCCCTTGCTTATTAGCTTTCTTAAAGCAGATCCTCAGTCATTACACAGGGTGTCTGTTGTGGGGGTTTTGTGTTTGGGGTTTTTTTTGTGTGTGTGTGTGTGTGTGTGTCTTTCTTTCTTTCTTTCCCTTCCCATTCCCATCCAAAAAAAAAGAATGGTTGCGGTGCTAAAGGCAGGGACTGTAAAAAGCAGGGGCTTAGGAAAGAAAGTTAGTTAAATTAGCAGCTGTCTCAGACCAGCAATAGATTTGAACGGAGGTGGTTTGGCCTTTTTTTTTTGTTTTGTTTTCTGAATGCAGTTTTTCCTGCATCAATCCAGGAGAAACTGGAGGCCCACAGGTTTCCTTTGAAAAAAAGAAATGAACGATAATTGCTATTCATGCTTAAGCTCATGTTCTATTCCCTTGCTATGGGGTTCAAGTACCCTGGAACTGTCACAGCAGTTCAGCTAGGCAAGGCAGTTATACAGCACAAGTGAGTGCTTGCTCTCCAGCCCTGGTTCTTAGTGATTTGGAGCAGACTGGCTTTTGTTAACACAAGGCTGAACAATGCTGGACAAAATCTTTTCAAATTAAATAGCCCTGTCTCTTCTATTAGTTTTCTATAAACTGTATTCAAGTGTTCAAAATGAAATTTTGTCCCCTTCCTTCATGGTGGGGAACAAATCTATTTCTTGACGAGTTAAAAGGGAAAGCGGTCAGAAATGACAAACACGTACATTACATTATCTAAGAAACAGAATTAAAGCTTCTTTAAACCTCTGGTTATATTGTTTTCCTAGCATGACTGACTTACAATCACTTCAAATCACATTCATTTTTGTCCTTACCTCAAATAAGGCAAACAAAGGTTCAAAAAAACTTTGATCCTTTTCCCATACTTGACAGAGATTAAGCTGGAGCCAAAGCGCACACATACACTATATGTGTGTGTGTGTGTGTGTGTGTGTGTGTGTATATATATATATTTAAATAAATGTGGGAAGAGGAGAGAGAAGGGAAAGAAGCAGAGTAGCATGGGTACCTCCTGTTAGTCCAGCCAAAAAAGACATCTGCTGCTATTTAAGCTACTGGTTCAGCAGTTGAGTATCCTCTAGCTGTCTAACATTGGCAGGTAAAAAGCATTCAAACAAACTGTAGTAAAGCAGCTCTGGGCAGTAGATCATTTTCTGTGTTTTGGAGGGTTTTTTTGGTTTGGTTTAAGAAGGGGACATGAAAATTAGCCAGGAGTTCTGTGGTACAACTTTGCTTTTGCTGAGGATAGCTATGCACACAGCAAAGCTGGAGAGCAAACAACAGTACCCATATATCCTTGTTTGAGGGGACTAATAACTACACCTTGAAGCACAAGAAACTCATTGAGAACAACCTGCAGACAGATCACTTTATTACTCATAAATTATTACATATTATACAGTTATAAAGTTACATTGATCCATACACAACCAGAATCAAGGCTGCCATATAGATATAATAGTAGGAGCTATTGCCTGAACAGTTTGTTGTTTAAATAAAAGATAAAATAGAATGGAAGCAAAAAAAGAGCGTGCCAAACTCCTAGCAGAGGTACTGGGGCTGAGCCAGAACCCCTGTACAGGCTATGTGCTGAGCTGTAAACTGAGCCAGAACCCCTATACAGGCTATGTGCAGCACTGGCTCTCAAGTCAGCCCTCAACTCCCTAGCAGGGATTCAGCTCTACAGTTCCCCGGGCAGGCAGATCTCATTTACTTGCAGCCACACCAAGCTGTTGATCAGCTAGGATCTGCTACCTCGTAGCCTTTTTGCTTTGCTAGGCAGCTCAAAAATACCAGCAAGAAAAAGGAAAAAGACTAAGCTAAAGTATCAGAAGAGGAAACTTTGTGACTATGATACCCTTCTCAGGTACTGATTCCTGGAGCAAATGCAATGGGTGAATACCCCTGAGCTTATGAAATAGATTTGGTAGCAGAACATTTATATAAGAGAAAGAACACGATCTGTATGTGAAATAAAGCAGCTACCGACAGAGCTGAGGCAAATCTTCATCAGAGTAGCAGCACACACTTAGCCCACAGCCCTCAATGATAATACCCACTGCTATTTCATGTGCACTGGTCATTTGAGATTGCCATACTGCAACACACAGTTGCACACAGGTCTCAACAAGATCTACTATTACTGGTGACTAGTCAAATAGACAGCGAGGGAAAGCTGTTTTTGAGACTCATAAGGATAAATTCTTACTGTGAAAGGTCAATTTCCTTCAGCCTCCCCACTTCTTGCTTGTGCTTTTCTTCAAATTCTTTTGCAGCTTCTTCCTACAACGGGACATCACAAGGGATTTGTTACGTTCTAAGTACAACAGCAACCATGTGACGCACAGAAAATTCCTTTCCCATCCAATGAGCAGTATATCCCATAAAATAAACACCAGATGAGTTTGAAAAGCTTGAGTCATTTATATAACTTTTTTTATATAAATTAGTATACATAAATGTAGTTGTAATACATAACTCAAGAACATTACTGTAGGTTCTAAGATATCTATACTGCAGTTTAACAAAGCAGACATATAAGAATGTAAGGCAAAGTTGTCCCATTTTCTAACTAGCATAAAGTAGCAGACATAAAATGGAATTCTTCTCTCTCAAGAAGATTTAGATGACAGGTGTTTCTGCACCAAGAAAACTCTATGAATATTAGATATGTATATTAAAGGTGAGAAGAAAGGTCAATAATTACCAGATCATCATTTAAAGATTTCAGTGTTGGCTCCATTACAATATCCTTTGTTGCTATCATCTGCTCCTCCACAGCCTTTTCCTGGACTGTGTTGAATAACTGGAAATTAAGTAAATCAAAGTACATGAGACATTTGGTGTTTTTTTTTTCTAGGTTTGTGCTTTACAAACAAACAAGAAATGCTGTCTGTCTCCATGACACTCTGGTAATCTTGCAAATATTAACAGACAGTCATTCATTTCCGATGCATATGTTCCACTGCACTGAAACAAAAGAGCTCAAGGCTGCTTCCTGAAGGCAAAAGAAAAACAGCTTTTATAAAAACATAAAATATATATGTATATACACATTCATGTATCAATCAGCACTCAATACCACTTGCATAAATACAAGAACTGATAATTTGCAGAATTTTTATCAGTATAGTGTCACTCAATTAACATTTTCAGATAAATATAAAGATATAATACGATACTATTTGGGAAAACCAACAATTAAAACAATGCTATAAATACCTTTTTTCTTTTTTTCCACTGGGATTTTCTCTCCTTACGAAAGGATCTACGCTCAGCTACTGAGGACACGTTAGGACACGCAATGCCGAGGCAGATTTCTATTGGCACCACCAGGCTCAGCACAGGAATTAAACTTTGGCTTGATACAACCCAGTCAAAGCAGGTCAAGATGCACTTACCTGGACTACTTTGCGGATGATCCTGTTGAAGAGGCCCATCAGTTGACTGCTGGGCAGTTCCACCTCCTTTTCTAGTTGGTCCAGAGATTTATGCTGTAGGCCAATCCCTAGAAGAAGGGCCTGAGGAAATGACATGTATTTCAGTTAGAGTTTTCTTCAGAGCAAATACATATTTATACATAAATAATATTCTCTATAGCATTTGCCTTTTGCAACGTCCTTGTTCTACCCAAGTAGTACAAGGCTTCTATGGTATGAACTAAGTTTTTCTCAAAAGCACTGAAATACCCCTAAATGATCCTGTGGCTGGCAAGCATCACTCCATGTTCAGTTCAGACAAATGCCTCCCTCTTGAGGTGCAGCTCAAGAGCCAGAAGATTTTGAGGGGATTTAAAACTTCACAATATTATAATACAAATACATGGAGTGCATCACTGAACAGGCAACAGCATATGATTTTTACAGACTTTATTCAAAGCAAACACAAAAGGTAGAAGAACATTACAAGTAGGAGAAAGTAGGAAAGCAGAAAGACCATAGAATAACCAATTACCAGAAGCAAAGGGTTTTTTTAATTTCTTTCTTTCAAGAAGACATATGAAATGGGACAGTGCTCCTAATGTAGGAGATGGCAGGAAAGCACAAAGAAAGGTGAAGCAGAGCTTGTTCACACAGTGATACGTACCGACTGGGCGGCAGAAAGAGAAATATCACCCAGCTGGTTGAGAAAAAACATCCTGGCAACAGCAGGTACCATATCCATGATCAGATGGTAGTCTACCATATTGCGGGAGTACATCTCTAACCTCTTCAGGTCATAGGGGATGAAAACAGCTTCTAACTCAGCACGGCTGATGGCTGAATAATAAAAAGGCCATAGTGTCAGAACTGGTCTTCCCAGCTGTGCAGGATCTCAGTATTTAACAAATTCATTTTTCACATCATTGACTGAAGGTCAACTGCTACCCTAGAGGTTCACATCCCAACACAGCCCTGAACCTAATATCCCAGGTCTAACTCTGTCACCCGGATTGGCAATTCGAAGTATTTTCAGACAAACATATGTCTGTACGAAAAAAAGAATACTGCTGCCAAAACAGACTAATCTATCAACTCAAACACATCCAAAAGACTAAAAATAGTGCAGGCTGATAACTACAATCCACACAGGGTTTTTTTTTCTGTCTTGCACCTGGTTCTACTGCTAAAGGACTTTCTCGTAGCAGCAGCAATCCTGTCCCTTTCATGTAGGCAAGGGCATTAAAATCCCACAAGACACAAATTACCAAGTACTCTCAAGAGGATTCCTTGGCTTGGCACGTTAAAATAAAGCCATTTCCTTTCAAATTTGAGGGCTTTTAAGTTAAAAGGGACCGTTAGAACTGTCTTGCCTGACCCTTTTGTAACACTGCCTGTGTATTTCCCCCAGGAAATGCTGCATCAAGCCCAATAACATGCAGCTGAACTGAAACCTCTCTTAGAAAGGCATCAAGTTCAAATTTCCAAATTTCTGATGACAAGGTTCTTCCTCAGCTCCTAAGCAAGCTGCTCTTCTGCCCACCGACCTCTGCTACTCAAGATTTCCTTTTTATTTCTACACTGGATTTGGCGGGCTCCTGTCTCCATCCGCTGCACTTTGTTTTGTCATGCTTCAGCAATTACAGTCAGGAGTCTTCTAGTTTTGCAGTACGTAAATCTTTCATTCCAGAACAGATAAACAAACAAACAGGAAATACATCGTCTTCAATAACTGAAAATCTCTTGTTTTTTTTTTTCCCTCAGAAATACAAGCAATTTTTGGATACTGGGGACAAAACATAACTGATCAAGAGGAACTGATAGCACTTCACAAAAGATATCACACTATGCTTGCATTTGAGAACTCTGAAAAACCTACACAAAGACATTAAATTGTGCTTTAAGTTAATATTGGGAGCCTGGATACTCACGGGGTTGTGACTGCTGTTTGATATTTTTGTTCTGCAGAATATTCAGTGCCAATGAGGGAGAGAATGTGCTGAACTGGTAGGAAAGAAGAGAAAGGAACCTCCTTCTAAAATCTGCAGGACAAGATGAGAAAATAAATCATTCCTGCGGATATGCACAACAAATATTCCAGAAGATTTCTCTCACATTAGCAAAATGAGCTCAGTTACCTTTCCAGAAGGCAATAAGCCAAGGCTCCTGTTCCGTATCCTCTTCATTCAGCATCTTCAGCATGATGCATGAATGCTCACCAGTCAGGTCATTCTAATAACGAAGATACATTGTCCATCATTTCTGTGGACATTTACCTCTCTACACTCAACTAAAGAAAGCCAAGATCTTATAAAACAACAATCCACATATCAACTGCTCCTGATCACCACTATCTAAAGTACAACCTATAAGCCCCAGCAATGCCCTAAACATTTTATTAAGTCTCAGTAATGAGGGATTTTGGCTTCTTCAGATAACTGCTATTCACCAGTACTGCAAATCCCACACACACAGCTCAAAAGCCAGGAAATCAAATGGAAGATGCAATGACATAAGATGTGAAGCATCTCTGTTCATCACACAGCAAACAAGTTTTTTTCTCCCAAAGTTCTGCAATTTCTATTGCTATTTTTAGTGAGCACCTAGAAAGGTGTAGGATAGTTCAGGAGCCACTTTTTTTATCATGAACCACAGTAACGATGCTGAACATCACTATCTCTGCTCTACTTTTTAGAGAGCAGACTAATGAGAAGACCACACATGCAAACCTGTAACTTTAATCCTTTTAACAAGCTACAGATCTAAAGAACAAAAGCGAACACAGAACAAACCAATGTAGTCTCAGGCACCTTTACTGCTCAAATCACATCTTACTAAAGTCAGTGGAAAGATATCAATAGGGCTGGATTTCATGCTACTTACTGGTGTCTGCCTTAGATAAACTGGCACAAATCCAGCACGCTTCCAAAACCTGGAAAAAGGGAAAGGAGCAAATGCACTGGGTATTACAGAGCTGTTGGTTTTACAATGCAGCTTATAGTTAAATACAGTTTATCCCCTGTATAAGAAAAATTACTGGAAAGTAGCAAAATTTTAAGACATCAGGAACAGGACTGAACCTGACTGAAATTCTAACCTACAAAAGACTGGAAAACGATGATGATGACATCAGAAAATGAACAAACTTTGTGTTTCAGGCAAAAGACTGACAGACATGACAAAAAGAGCACTTGAATCCAAGAGGCTCCCATGACCTCCTTTAAAAAGCAGGCAAAGAGGTTTTCATCAATAAAGTCGCAGACTCCTAAGGGATACCCTGGGGGAAGGCCTGAAGGGTTGGCAGTTTCTACCAGAGACTACTTTTCATCAGTGAATGCTGATTTTCCCTGGCATCTTCCAGGTTCCAAATCATCACTTGTTTACCACAAAGAATCCCAGACTCATCAGCAAAACCCTGCTGCCTTCCCTTTCCATTCTCCCCTTCCATCTCCCTTTGCATCTTAGTGGCAAGCTGATCCTGCAATTCACTTGCCTCAGGATGAGGAAAAGAAACCTGCTGGGACCAAGCATATGGCATCCCAGACATAAGAAAGCAGCCAACCCCCAGAACAGCAACAGTCCCTGGCAACCTACTTCCACAGGCCGCAGGATAGCTGCTCATCAGCTGCACAGGATGCTGTGAATTTTGGCAGGAAGCCCTACATGTGCACCCCATCCTCTCCCCACTCTGCTCTTCTCCTTCCATTTAGCTATTCTACCACAGCTAAGACAAATAATTTAAAAAAATAATAGTCAAGCACTTTATTCTCCCTTCTGCACTCCTAATGGAAGGACTGTTTAATAAAGAAAGATATCTGAACCATTTGCTTTAAGATTAAAAGTGTTTTGTGTTACCCATGAAATTTTGCAGTTTTCTTTTTTTTTCTGCACTGCTAAATGGCTCAGCATCCCAGCCTGGCATGCACTCGGCAGCATGCTGGCCATGGAACAAAATGGGCTACAGTCTCCTATCTGCAGGATAGCATTATATTTTTTTTTTAATCTCTATTGTGAAATGGAGGGCAAATTTAAGATAAATCTAAAAATCTAAATTATATTGATCTACTAGTACAGTAACTCAGTTCTTTCATGGTAAGAAATGTGAGAAGTAACTGTAGTTATTGGTGAAAACTTTTTACATTAGCCAAGAAAAAAAAATAGGTTTAAAGTTAGCAGCAGCTCAAGCTTCTGCAACTGACAGCATTTAACTTGTTCCTACTAATTACAGCTTATTCTTCTTACAGTCTGGAGAATTTGACCTGTTACTAGCAATTAAAAATAGCTAACGTTCAGAAGGGTCACAGAGACATCCAAGAACTGCTTTGCACTCAGAAGGAGTTTGAGAAAAACTACCCTGCAGGAACTAGTTAGTAACAGTTAAGTTCAACTCTACTGAACACCAAGGGCTGGTCTTACAGAAAAAGAGGGCTTGGAGCTGCCCCAGATTTAGAAACAAGTGAAGCCTGCAAAGAGAATGTCCAAAGTGTAAAATACCACCATATGCAGCAGTTATATTTTTACACTGGTCTTAACCAACAAGTAGAATAAAGTCTTACTTCAGTAATCTTGGTGTTAGGCCATAAGATACACCTAGATAGTCTAAGCTCTCAGCTTGTCTCTCACTGAGTTTGAGAAGCAAAGGAGGCAAGTCTTTCCGAGGGGTCACGACCTCTTCTAACAAACTAACAGTCTGGAAGAGAAAGCGGAAATGGATTAGTAGCATCCTCACAACAACCTGCAAACAAACCTCTCATTCTGTATAATAAATAAATAAGCAAGAGCATTCCCTTCCGATATACAATACAATAATCAATACCGAGGCTAATAGTGAAAATCAAACAGCTTGGCACAGCAGAAAATACAAGAAATGCACTGAGCTCCATACCTCACTGCTTACAGTTGCAATCTCTTTGGGTTTCTGAATTGTTTTTTCTTCCAAACAAGGGAATTTGCCTTCATAGTACATCTGCAGTAAAGTCAGAGCTCTGCTGCCATAACCCATCTGTGAAGTAGCAACAGCAAAATATATGGAAAAAGACGTATCTATTTTTCAAAACAAAATAGCAACATTGTTCCCCTTACAAGCCCATTAACGACAGTCAGCACAGAGAGCACTCAGTCGCTGCAAAAACGACAGCTGCAGCAGTTCCACCACCTTCCTTCCCAGCTGCCCTTTGGGGAAGGGCACCAGGGGCCACTATTTTCTGACTGGAACCTCAGTGAGGGTTAGAGCCCAGGATGTGTCGTTCAGGACTGTATGGTAATTCTCAGAACTCACCTCTAGCACTTGTAAAATGGCAAACGCACCAACGGGAAGATTTATTTTGTAACCTCACAATAAACATTACTGGACCTTGAATATCTGCTGCTTCTTGGGATGCTTTAACACTGCTTAGTAATGGCAGGAGTACTGGTTTGCTACCCATCCAGAGGAAAGCAAACATCCCCTATCCACTGTGGCATGCATGTATTTCTGTGCATCTTTCACCCAGATCCTGACTTCACTTCGTTACTCTCTCTTGCTCACTAAGTCCTCATGCTTAAAATGCTGTAAACTGGGACAAACAATATGTGTTTGTTACGTTCTTTAACTCTTGTCTAGGCATTTACTAGTGGCCGGTGTTTCTGTTGCTTTTCTCCAGACTTCAGAGCTATTTACAGAAATAACCAGGTGGATATGTAATTGCAACAACCCAGGTTGCATTTAAAAAAAAAAAAAAAAAAAAAAGTTTATTTCCAGAAAGTCTGTCTCAGAAGATCCTCCAATTAGGAGGATCATCCTCTTACTTCATTACAGAACTAGCACCTTGCTACAACAAAAAGAAAACCCACCTCCTGTTGACACTATTTATTACCCTCAGAAAATGCAAAGACCTTTTCAGGTCCCTTTCTAGAGGGAAGAACCTGTGGTTGTGATGAACCTGTGCAGTTTCAAACATTGACACCCTGTGCTATAGTAGAGATATAAAAAAAAAAAAAAAAAAAAAAAAAAAAAAAAAAAAGGTGGGGAAAGAGAAAGATGTTTACAATAAAGGCAATCCAAAATACTTTACCCCTTGGTAATCTGGATGGACCGCAATTCGAACAACACGTCCACCAGAGAGGCTCCCAAAATCTGGATCTTGGAACTGCACAAGAAACACAAGTCAGTTTGAAGAACACAGATGCGTACTCTGTATACAAGCAATCAAATACATCTTGGGTATACGTAGATAGATAAACTATTCACCTGCTCTGAAATGGTCCAGGGAATAAGATCACCAGAAGCTTTCTTTCCCCTTGAAAGGCTATTCATGATAGACTGGCGAGAGATCTCTCCCTCCATGCACACCTGACAGAAGACAGCAAAAAGCCATGAGCCTACAGTCTCTCCTCCTCCAGTCACACTGCCTGTTCCTAAAATGCAGACTGCCGCCTGCCAGAGTTTCGCTGAGCACTTCACTTCGTGCACACGTGCAGAGTTCTCACCTGAACAACAGCAAGTACTTCTGGCAGTGAATTCTGGGTCGGAGGAACAGGGGGCAGAAGGCAAAAAAGATGATGGGCAGGCGCATCGGATAACATCTGGAGGTCATTGGGAGAGTTCTGCAGGGTAAATACATACCAGAAAGTTGAAGAATTATTCCAAGGGAAGAGCTTCAAAAGTCTAATGCAATGCTGGTAGCTGAGTTCTAAACTATACTTTATTTTCTTAATTTAAAGCTATTAAAAATTTACAGCTAGTACAAGCTTGAAGGATAAAGCAGCAATCATGGCAATCCGTGGCTGTTTCACTTCCAGACAATATTATTTTGCACAAGTGAAACCTCTGCTTTCACATGTATGGGACTGGACTTCCTATTTCTATATAGCTATGCATCTCTTAGTTTATGGAACTTGAAATAATTTTGTCTTCTGAAGTGTCAGAAACTTAACATTCATTACTTCAGTACTTACTGAATTCATAAGTCATATTTAATAGTGACCCATACTCCAAAATTCTGAGATGAATTTTTATCACTTTTCAATAGTACTATGTTACTACTTATTTGGTTAATCTGAGATTACTAAAAAACTGTAAAAACAACTGTGAAAGATGGATCATCACTGATATAGTTCTGAACAAGCTGCACGTAAGTCGGAATTCAACTAGAATTTAATCTCCAAGATTTCTCAAATGTCTTTATTATTATGTTCTGATCAATTAACTTCTGTTAATATAACAGGCATCTGTAAATCTAGCATATTCAGCTAGGAGGAGGCAGAGATGCCCTCAGAGCAGAAAGAACACAAGTCTGTAGGTAACAACAAGCACCTGAAGCTGTCCACAAAAACTCAGTTAAGCCAGTTCAGTCAAGACTGTCCTAAACTTGCAATGCCCCATCCACAAAACTCCTAATTTTTAACAGACACAGCACAAACTTTACCTTGTAGTGTGAAGCCACATAGAGAGCCATCAGTCTCTGCAGAAAAATTTCTGAGGCTTTGTGGTAACAAAACAGTGTGTCTCTATTTACATAGTATCTAAACAGATAGGTTAAGGAAACAATCTAAACAAACACCAAAAAAAGAGGCCAAAAAAAAAAAAAAACCCTCAAATCCTTGTTGGTTTAGGAGTAATAATCTCCACAGAGCCATAAATTTGGGATTAAGTCAAGTCTTTGCCAAGCAGGGTGTTTAACTCCTACTCCACGGCCCAAGGCAGGATGAACTGAACTAGAGCACAGACAAGATAGGTGACGAACTGTGAAGAAAAGCCCCAAACTGTACGGGGCTAACAAACAAGAGCCACTGTTAATCAGCTTGGAAAAAAACTTTTTACCTAGAAGAAGTGTATTTTAGCAGGGCACATTGGAGCAAGGATACAAGTCACAGGTCTCAGGCAGCGGGCAGCCAGAGATAATTCGGGTGATGCTGAGACAGTCCAAACACAGCAGGTCATTTAGCCACTTCTCAACAGGGTCGCCCGGGGCATATCTAATTGACTCATGGAGGGAGACTTCATGCAATGTACGAACTGCAGAGAGATTTCAGAGAAGAACCTTTAGTGTTCAGGGTTATAGTTAGCAAAGCATAAAATAAATGTCTTCTGAAGGACTGCCAGGGGATTAGAAGGACACTCAAAACCGGGCAGAGCAGAAGGCAATCAAAAACTGCTACTGTTCTGAATTACGATTGTTCCCAACTGGAGTGGAGCCTTCAGCCTGCATCCTCATATAGCCTAGGGAAGTTGGTAGAACACTACTCACATGCCTTTCATCCCCTAAAAGCCTTTGCATCTGAAAAGGGTGAGGAAAAAGTCATCTGGAGAGCTCCTTCACATTCACCTTCCTAACAGCTGCAGAGCACAACATAAGGGGTATTCGCAGTGCTCACCAGACAGCAGTGCTGGCCTTCACAGCTATCCTACAGCCCCAAATACAAGGCAGTACCTGAGGTGAGCTTAGCTGTAGCTGTAGTTTTGTTCTCTGCTGTCATGGAGACTTGGGCTTGCGCACTCTGCTGCCGGAGCTGCTGAATGAGCTTCAGAGATAACGATCGGCCAGTTCCCTCATATCTGAAAAGCAGAGGACAAAAGACTGAAACCAACCCCAAATGTCAGTCCTAAGCTACAGGGAAGCTGCAGTCTTACCCAGAATTAAGACACCTTCTCTGCCTTCCAGAGATATATGCCACTTGGAAGCCTGTAAAGGCCTCCAACATCTGTGAGAATTGCTGCTTTTGGTGTTCTTGTACATGAAGCACAAGGCAGCCTATGCCAGTTATTTTTTAATCTCACTGCATGGGAAGAAATGTGCTATTCTTCCTCCTCTCCTAGCAAGCTGCAGGATCTTGTTTATATGTTTGCTTCTTATACAAGAACAGAGCAGACAAACACTTAGGAATCTGCAAGGGAACCAGAGGAAAGCATCATTTTCAAGTACTGACTCTTGGTCATTGTAAGGAGTGATTCCACAAGAGTTCAATAATTAGCAAGGAATTGATGACCTGTTCTGAGAGCATGTAATAAAGAAAATACATAAATAAAAACAATCTATTGTAGAGAAGAGATAATCCACGAGCATTGCACAGCTAGTTTGCCAGGCAGACAGCAGCTGCTCACACCTTACCCATTTATTGTAGAAGCCATGAAAACAAGGTATGGGCCGAGCAGATTTTTCACCAGGGGCAGAGGGATGGCAGCAGCTTCATCAATCACAACAAGCTCAGCTTGACCCAGTTTCACAGAATCAGCAGGATGTATGTACTGCAGGGAGTGAGAGGACACAGTCACTGTCAGCAACAACTATTTCTGACAGCTAGAAAAATGTTAGAGGTGGTCAAGCTGGAACCCTGAGAAGGCATGTGTTGTCCCTGTTCTCCATGACCAACAAACAGAGACCAAAATTAAAAAAAAAAAAAGAAAAAAGTTCATGTTAACCTGCAAGGAGAAGGTCACATATCTTATTTTGTACACTATCTCACACATTTATTTGTATGGATCAACAAGAAAGGAAAGCCCTGGATGAAGGGCTGGAGTGCTCCCTCAGCAAGTTTGCCGACGATACCAAACTGGGTGGAGTAGCTGATAGCCCTGAGGGCTGTGCTGCCATCCAGAGGGACCTGGACAGACTGGAGGACTGGGCGGCGAGAAACCTCATGAGGTTCAACAGGGGCAAGTGCAAGGTCCTGCACTTGGGGAGGAATAACCCTGGACACCAGTACAGATTAGGGGTGGACCTGCTGGAGAGCAGTCCCGCAGAGAGGGACCTGGGTGTCATGGTGGACGACAAGTTGACCATGAGGCAGCAGTGTGCCCTGGTGGCCAAGAAGGCCAACGGGATCCTGGGGTGCATTAAGAAAAGCGTCTCCAGCAGGTCGAGGGAAGTGATCATCCCCCTCTACTCAGCCCTGGTGAGGCCACATCTGGAGTACTGCGTCCAGTTCTGGGCTCCCCAGTACAAGAGGGATGTGGAGCTGCTGGAGAGAGTCCAGCGCAGGGCTACCAGGATGATCAGGGGCCTGGAACATCTGCCCTATGAGCAAAGGCTGAGAGAGCTGGGTCTGTTCAGCCTGGAGAAGAGGAGGCTGAGGGGGGACCTGATCAGCGTGTATAAATACCTCAAGGGAGGCAGTGAGGAGGAGGGGGGCGGCCTCTTTTCAGTGATGGACAGTGGACTAGAGGAAATGGCTTCAAACCGAAGCATCGGAAGTTCCACAGGAACTTATGGAAGCATTTCTTCACTGTGAGGGTGACAAAGCACTGGAACAGGCTGCCCAGAGAGSTTGTGGAGTCTCCTTCTTTGGAGATSTTWMAAASCCGCTTGGAYGCAGCCCTGTGCCACGTGCTCTAGGTGACCCTGCGTGAGCAGGGGGGTTGGACTCGATGACCTCTGAGATCCCTTCCAACCTTCGGCATTCTATGATTCTATGATTCTATGAAATTTAATTTATCACTAGGAACATGAGCTCTTCCATCACAGTTGTCTGAATCTTCTGTTTCAGGAAGGAACTCACAAGCACCCAAGATTCTTTGTAATCCACAAGCTATTCACATAGAGAAACTAAATATTTTATTCGTGTTTGTATATTAAGTTGCTCACCAGAAAAAAAATGTCTGCCTTGAAGCAAAATCAATTGATACTGTTATTCATCACATAAAGTGAACATGTTTAAAATTAAAACAGCTAAAAGAAATAGTAATGAACAAAAGCAGAAAGGCAAGAATGTGAGAGGCCCATTACCTGAATGGTCTGTCTGTGCTCCTTAAACACATTCACTCTGACAACAGCCTTGTTAAACTCAGGGTTTAAAGACTGAATAATCTCATAATCTAGATGTTCCTAAAATAAAACATTGTTAAACAAATTTAAGAAGTCAAGATTCAAGAAAATTAGTATTCTGAAGACAATACGTTCATTATGAGTACCTTAGTACTTCAGATTCTAACAGTGGCAAGTCAGTCAGAAGTTGTTGTAACAAAAGCTTCAGGAATTCTAAAGTGAGAACTGACTTGTTTCCCTACAGGAAGAAACTGATCTTCCCATATCAAGAATAAGGAAGAAAACATTACTGTGCCACGATTCATCTTTGTGGAATATTATTTTTAAAGCAGTAGTCAGGGAAAGAACTTGTAGCTGATATATATAAAATATAGCTTGTAAATGATATATAATTCATATATATAATTATATAAGCATAAATATAAATACGTAGTATTAGCTTGTAGCTCCTATACAAAATGTATATAAACAAAATCTACAGAGGAGATGTAAAACCCATGCTAAATAGCAGCTCTGTGAAGGTATTGTAAAATTGTCTTTTCTCTTTACCTGATACTGCAATGCATCAAAACCTTTAAATATGAACTCAAAGAGAGTGTGGAGGTTATCAGGGCTCGGAGATGTGACAAAGATGTTGGAGTAACTGTACGGGAAAAGGAAAATATTAACTGCTTTTCCAGCAAATTTTCCATATGCATACAGACACAAAGGAAGCTTTTTTTTTTTTTTTTTTTTTGAGGGAGTTAATTTTATTTAATTACCCCAAAAGAGCAGATCATTATTTATAAGACTTCTTTATGTGTATCTGCATTTTTAAAGACTGAGAAATTATTACAAAACAGAAAAATCTGAACATGACTGTATATAGTCACTAAATGATGTAAGAAGAATAAACAAGAGGAATGTAAGACTGGAAATGACAAATACATTCAAATCCTGGGGGTTTTTTTTTGTTTGTTTGCTTTTTTAATTTACAGGTGTAAATAAAGTCTGGGAGATGGGGATATCACTCACCCAAAAGCTACTGCTCCAGCAATAGCCAGACCCAAAGCAGCAGATTTACCCCGTCCCCTGGCTGCTGTTAATGCCACAGTGCTCCTCAGGGTCTTCTCAGAAATGGCTTCAATAAATTTCAGAACTGCTTTTGCCTGATAATCAGGGAAAAAAAAGAGAGAAGAAAAAGCACTTTGGCCAAACCGCTTTAAGCATTACTTAGTCCTATCACTAACTTATATCTTCTTTCCTAGAATGCAAAGGAATGGTAAAGACAAAATAGGAGATCCACTGAAGAAGTCCACTAAAATAACATGTGAGAAAAAGATAGAGCTCTCTCCCTGGCACAAAGCATCCCAAGTTTAAACATGATACCAACCTGATCAAGAGTTTTACAGCCATCCACCAGAACTCCGACAGGCTGTGTGTCCTGCAGACTTTCCTTCAGCTCTTTCAGCTCTATATCCTGGGGCCGGAGATTGTCCTCCTATGAGCATAGGATTTACCACAAGATTAGTAATGGACAGCTTAGCACAGATACAACATAGTTCATCAAGCAGGGAGCAATTACTGAAAGTCTTACCACTTGACTGTACTCCCCAGGGACAGAAAAGTTTGAAGGGATGGACAGGTATTTAAACACTTTAATTTAAATGCATTTTCCAAAAAAATGGACACAAAGAAGGGGTTCTCCTGTCATCCCCATGCTTGGAAGAAAAAGAAGAGAATTTTCCATACATGTTGCTGCACATCAACTTTAAATCCCTCTCAGCACTGAAACAGCAGTCACAGAAATTTAAGCTCTGCCTTGCTATGCCAAATGGCAATATCACAAAACCAAAAAATGCAGACGAGTATGGGAAAAAAAAGAGAGAAATAGGAAAAGAGAGCTTCCCACACTTCAATAATATGCGATATGATATTCTCTTCAAAACCTATTTCTTCCTCTTTGCAAGACCGTTATTTACTATCAGTTGGGATGAAAGGGAAGTTTCACATTTATTGAAGCTTTAACACAGCGCTCAGTTCAGACCTGTTTCTCACAGGGAAAAGCTGCTGACATTCTTACTGACCTGCGACCGCGGTGGAACGGGCGTGATGTTTGCGACGTGGGAGGAGATGGGCAAGATATTGAGCTGATCATCAATCACGATGCAATTCTTGCAAGAGGACAGAGACAGAATGAACCTGGGCAGTCAAGAAAAGTCAAATCAGTAAAATGCACTGGCAATACTATTGCATTTTGGTAGTTGTCTTCTCCTCCCAACCTAAACATAGTATTTACAGGCAGTTTGGAGCTGGGCTAAGCTCATACTACCCGTATGTGCCCCTTTATATTAAATCAGGATGGCCTACAGAGAAGAACTATCCAATTACCAGGATGCTGTTGAAGAAAACTACTAACTTAAGGTGACCTACCACAAGAGTGAGAAAGTGACTTCTAATTTTTATGTGAGAGCCACTGCTGCAGATAGTGCATATTTCTTTATCATTCTTTTTATTCTGACATCACCTAACCACTATCTGCAGGCTAAGGAACAAAAGCTGCACTTTTCAATGGGCTACGCTCACTCCATAAGAGCTCCTCATTCTATACAACAGAGGTGATGAGAACAACTTTGCAAGAAACTATTACAAAATCACAAAAAAGACTTTGCACTGAGCAGTTTCATGCTTTATAGTGGCACAAGAGGTCTCTCAATTTCTGTTCAACTGAAGCAACTGCATATTTCTATAGAGAATTTTAAGAAATGGCCCCAGAATACTTTACAAGTGCTAACATATTTGGACCCATCTGTATATCCCTTGTATATAGCATCTCCAGCAACTACTTGTTTCCAAAACAGAACATGAAAAGTTCACTAAAGCATCAAGGAAGTAAAGAACCACAAAAGGAAGCTTTCCTGATACAAATACCAGCTGTTGTTCTGGTTGTCCTTTTCGGGCATGCAGATCTTTAGCCTAGACACTTTACATCTTAATAGCATACCTTTCATTAAACCTTCCTACTACATCCTGGTGTGCCTCTGTTCTGTAGCGAGAGTGGACATCCTGAAACAAAAGAAGATGAACCACAGGAAAAAAAATTAAAAAAAGAGTATGCAACTGTGAAGTTTGTAAGAGTACCACTCATGGGGCAATACAGCCTCTTTTTCATTCTTGTGGACTATGCCTTCCCTTAAATGTCATTTCTGCCAGGTACAGAACATTTCAAACACTTAGTGGATGCTAAGAAAGAAAAGTCTATTCTTATATGTATCTACTTGTAATATTACTAACAGAAGGAGATCCTGCCCTACAGGTAGGTATACTCTGTGTAGATAGGTCATATTTGAGAAACATTTCCCACTTGCAAAGCTAACTTCTCACGTAGCACCAAGGTGTGAAACACCAAAAGATCTACTACACTCAGCTTCTGCTATATGGGCTGACAGCACTAACACTTTCCAACTCAATATGGGCTGACAGTACTAACACTTTCCAACACAATAACCAAACAAAAGAAAACAGATACATCTGTGATGACAGGAGTTTCTGCCTCAGAACCTAGCAGCAAGTCCGGATATGTGGTTTGGCATAACCACCAAAATGAAAGACACATATCCAGTGAGAGACGAATAAAGGAACAGGAAAGATGATGGAAGGAAGATTGCAGTCCCAAATACAATTCAATACAATAAGGTATGCTGCCTATGTAAAACAGGTACATTAGACTGAACGTACATACCATGGTCATTGTATAGAGCTGCTTCAGTGAGTTCATAGTTCGTAGGAGAATCACCACAATTCCACCCCCTTCTACTGTTTCAACAGTTCTTGCCAGCAGGTTTGGAGTCAAGGCTTCAAAATCCTAGGGAAAAAGAAAACTTCCAAGTTGTCTAGAGCATCTCAGTGCAGCTAGTACCTACTAAAAGGCACAGAACACTTGCATTAACCAACTCAACAACAAGTCCGTATTACCATCAGAAAACAGAGGCACATCGGACCACTGTAATTTAAATAACAGAAGCAAGAAATACTATTCCCATGGCTTTTAAACTAAAAGCCATTGGTGCTAGTGCTACTAGCACTTCTCTTAAGTCATAAGCTTAATTCCTTACCTGAAGTACACACATGCCAAAAGTGTTACCAAGAATCTTATGAGTCTCATTATAATAGCAGTAGCGAATGTTTGTGGCCGCTATAAATAACTCAAAAGGATCATCGTCTTTTACGTTTAAAGTCCCGCTTTTAATTTTCTTTTGGAGCTGTCTCATTCTCTTCTTTCGGTGGCTGGAAAACAAAATTATACAGAGGTTATCTGGGAAAAAGGGTTGAGGAGACTGTGTTCAGGCCTATGTTTCACTCTAACAAAAATTCAGAAAAGATTTTCCAAATTTCCCAAGGAAAAATCTTCAATCACATTCACTGAATGCATGAACTGCTCTCAAGAGTGCTCAAGCCAAAGGGGTGGAAACCACACAAAAGCAGTAGTTTCTGCAAGTCATTTGTATGAAACTTAAATCACTATAGGAAAACCCTCCTTCTTGACTTTGTGTCCAGACTGTAACTTGCATACAAGCCTAGGAATTAAAGTGTTAAACCCTTGCCAACCAAAGGAATACTCCTGTCTGGCCTGCATTCAGTCCCAAACACTACTAAGGCTGAAAAGGTGAAGGACTAAGACAAAGGAAAAGACTGGTCCAGCACAACTATGTGAATGTCACTATTAGAATAGGAAACCCAAAGCAGTTAGTACTTATATCAGCTGTATTTTTTAAGTCAAATGTGAGCCCTGGAAGACCAAACTTCCTGTAGCTCCTTCAAGAACTATCCTTGTTTCTCCTCACAGCTGAACCATGCAAGCTCCACTACAGCAAATCTCCCATGAAGCTTTTGCTTCAAAAACTGCAATTAAGGCCTCTAATCACAGCATGAGATACAATGTATGTCTTACCTGGAAAAGCCCAGCTCCTTTTTGTAACACCATAGGACAGAAGGCCTGGCCTTGACAGTTGCTTTAGACAACATGTGGTGAAGTATTACCACCTGCCAAAACAAACGTACGTGAACAAGTGTATTCACAGGCAGACGTCAGGGAGCAGAGCACCTCTTTGTTCTTGATTTTACAGCCACCATCATCTACCAGGCACAAAAGGGAGCAACCACTTGACATGCTGTGAGGTTACACTCTTGCTTTGCACAGCCCAGCATCACACCTGCCTTCTCATGCACAACAGCAGTGTGACACTGGGGACACTGAATTACACCAATCTTTGTGTTCCTCTTCAGCTAAACTGCTAACAATGGTGCAAACAGGAGTCGATTATTCCATGCTATACACGGCAGCTTCCTCAATTTTACCAAGCCTGTAAATTCAATGAGTGCATTAAGTGTTTTAGGTTCCATCCCATCAATGAAAACAGTGAACACAAGCAGGCTCGGGATACATCGGGATACATCCCTTCATTCCTCACAGTGCGGACAGGCCCACTTTAACAGCAAATCAGCGACCACTTTCTGTAGACAGCACTGCCCAACTGGTTTAGCATCATAACAATAATTTAGCAAAGGCCATACTTCCCTAACTTGGTTATGAAAATATGGCATAAAGTGGTTCTGGAGATTTTATAGAAAATATGGTATTTAACATGTTCTTCTACCTAAAGATATTGCTATCCTGATGGGGGGGGGGGGGGGGGGGAAACACCCTTCTGAAAAGCTGCTGTCTCTGCTCTGAGGCGATGAGTCAGGGTGAGCGAGCTCACCCCGTGGCAGGCAGGCACGGTTGGCTTTGGCCCCCGTGGGCTGGGGCTCGGGGAGCTGCCCTCTCCGCTTCAGCACGGCACCCGCGCGCCCGCCCGCCCGCCGCTCCGACGGGCACGGCAAGAAGCGGGGAGCTGCCGGCGCCGCCTCACCTGGTCTTTGCCGCGGTCGCCGACCACGACGAAGAGGGACCGCTGCCGCTCGGCCACGCCATTCTCGATGAGCACACGGAGGCGGTTGTCCACCTTCCTGCGCTGCATGGCGGCGGCGGGGACGGGGGGAGAGGCGCCAACGGCCGCGGCCAACGGCTGCGGCCAACGGCCAACGGCTCCCGGCGCGCGCGGTGCTCAGCACGTGGGGGCGGCGCGTGCGCAGGGCGCGTGCGCCGCGCCAGGACCCCGGCGCCCTGAGGCGCCGCGGCTGCCCGCCGAGCGCCTGCGCCGCAGCGCCCGCTTCTACCCAAAAAACCGTCCGTTTTATCCTAAAACCGGCTGCAGCGTTTAATAAACCCCACAACCGTTCCGATTTCTGTACGAGAGGGCAGGCTGCGCGACGCAAACCAGTTATGAGCGTGGCCTGGCCTCAATGCCGGGGGGAGAGGGAGGGACGTTAATACGCGCTCTAAAACTGACGGCAAAACTAGTCCCAACTGCTTCCAGGCCGTAACTTAATCCTGCACTAGCACAGGTTGAGCCCAGCTACTCGCATACAGAAACTTAGTCTTAGCCTGTAGCACTGCCAAAAAAGGGGTAAAAATTGCACAGTTTTGTAGCCAGGTAACATATCATATGAAAAAATGTTTGATTCCACTGGTATGATGTATTTTTGAATAAATTTTTAAAAATAGGCCAAAAAAAAAAAAAAAARAMAAAATTACCAAGCTAAAAATAAGTTTAAAAAAAAAAAAAACAGCTTTTTGAGATGAACCCAGTTACTAAGACAAGACCACTGATGCAAAAGCAGCAGAGCAAGGTAGTCTCTTTAAGGTATAAGCATGAAATACTTGCTTAAAAGGGAGGACATAAAGCATTTAAATAATTTATTTTTCAAGTGTTTACATAAGCCACAAACCCATTGGTTTTAAACGGAGAGTTGAAGAACTGCAAAGACGTATATACAAGTACGTTTAAGGCCATCAGAAAATTGGAACCTGACAACTAAAATGTAGTTCTGAAGACTTGCTTTTATGGTACACGCATTACTAAAATTTATTCTAAAATTGAATAGCTTTAGAGAAGAAATACATTTTCATTTATTAAGAGTAATGAATAATTAGTAAAATTTATCTTAATGTATATAAAAAAAGTTTCAGGTGCACTCTTGATCCACTAATAGGTATTCAAGCACATATTGCGGAAAGGAGAAATCTGCCATCATAGTTGGAACCAAGTAATTACACCCATTCGATCATTTTATTAACATGAAAAAAAAACAGGGCAGAGGACAGGGGACAGACAACCTAGCTTTTAAAGATAATGAAATAATGATTATAGCAACGGCTAACACTGATAAAATAGACCTCAGAACAAAAGTCACAACTGTCAAGTGAGATGGAGGTTTTCCCAGCACAGTTCTCTCAAAACACTGGTCGAATTGGTTTAGAATGTCAATTCTGGAAAATAGTTTTTTTTTTTTTTTTTCTCTCTCTCTCTCCATTAAGGCTTAATCTAGAGCCACAAAAAATTAGCTATATTCAAAAAGCCTAAGGAAAAAAATAATTAATAGCACCTCTTCCCTTAGATAAGCCATTCAGGTTAGTTTCAGCGATTCCTGTTTATATTTAACTCAAGTCACAGCACACCATAAATTCAACAATGTCCAGTTTCTGAAATTTTGTAGAAAGAGACAGAAATCTAAGATGCTGCTTTTATTCTTTCACAGACATACGCGAGGGTCAGGGCTTTCGTTCACAGGCCTCTCCCTAAGCAGTCAGGTGTAGTGGTTATCAAAAGCATGGAAATTTCTTCCCTCTTGGGAAATGTATTGACTGAGATGAAAAGCATCTGAATGCAGACAAAGCAGCATCTGCAACCTGAGCAGTTTGAAGCATCTTCCTCCTCTCCCTACTCCTAGAAAGACAATTTGACCAAGCAGAAGCACAACGCTCAAATGATTAGCCTCGTTCACAACTATTATGTAAATGTGACCCTAACCTGAGATCTCCCAAAGTTAACATCAAAGCTTATTTCATTTTGCAACTGAAACCAAGAAATTATTGAGGTTATTGGGAGACTGGTCAAACAAACATTCAGACACATTTGCTGCAATAAAACAGTCAGTGTTCATGAAGGAAATCTGTCATTTAGGAAAAAAAAATACAAAATCTTGAAATGTATGAGTTTCCAGAGATGTTCCAGAGCAAAGTCCTATCTATATTTAATCCCAGGTTAAATTAAAAAAAAAAAAAAAAAAAAAAATGGAGGGAGGGGCAGGAGGGAGGGAGGACATTAATGTCCTCTTAAAATCAAAAAGAGAACGTTATGAACAGTTTGTTCAGTATCGTTTCCTGGTTGCCCCTGGTATGCAGCACCAATCTTCAGGTCAACCAGTGGTAAAGAAACCCACTCCACCCCAGCCATAAAAGCTACTTGGTGACAACTCAAATGATTAAAAACCTTAATAGTTCCACCCATATTCACTGCAGATGGAAATCTGTAAAAACAGGTGCATAGATCTACAAGACTAAAATAGTCTTCATACAGCTGCTAGCCTCAGCCTGACCCTATCTATCAATCCGTAACTTGAAGTACCCGCTCGGATACAGTGCACACACCTTCTCCAAGAACGGCTTCACATGTGCAGCGGAGCACGGAGCAGTACAGGGTTTTCCAAGACGTGATTCCAAGAGCCTCACTAATGGGGCTGGCCAGGACCCTCCATCTACAGGCCATGGGGGCAGAGAAGTGACCAGAGCTCTATTCCATCCCTGGTACTGACCCCAAACCCCTAAACCTCACACAACTACTCAGAACCATTCTTACAAAGAAGAGGTAAGAACACTCAGCTACTTAGCTCAGATAGTGCCAGAACTTTGAATAAAGAAGAGGAAGACCAAGATTTTTCTGACCAATGGGTTTTGTATTTTATTCTGCTGAATCCCAGAGCTTTTGCCCTGCTTGCTAAAGTAACTGCATGAAGCTGCTGCCTTCTCAGCATCATTTATCTTCCAGGGCTAAAGGGCATCTGTGCAGGGCAAGAGCCATTCCCACACCCTTCCCAAGGTCATTTGGAGGAGAGGGGGGAGTTGGACCTCATGCCCCTTCTCCAAAGACAACAAGGGTGAAGGTGACCTCTAAACTAGCCACACAGTCTGCCTATCTGGCAAATAAGATAGACAGGACATGTTAAGAGGGTAAGCTTTTAAGGTCATGAAAAGCTAGAAATGCCACCAGAATACATTATCGGCTAACAAGTCAAGACCCCCTCTCACAGCTAGTCAGGATAGTACAGTGTTCTAGAAATTGCTGTACACAAGGCAGTTTCTTGGAAAGAAAACAGCAGATAACAAGTCGAAAACACTTTATAGTGAAATCCAAGAGCTGTACTGGTGAACATTTCTTAAGAGAGCCAGTACACAAGAAAAACATCTAAGTAAAAACGTAAAAACGCAGGACAAAATAGACATTAGGTGAGAGACTGAAGTTCATGATTCTTGAATTAAATTAAGTTGTGGGATATCTAGGAAGAATCTGAGTTTCCCAGACAGAGTAACTTTAAACAGAAACATAGAAAGGCTCTACAGTATTCATAACTGATTTACTCAAGAATTACTGTATTACAGACAAAAGGAAATAGGACACTGAAGCTGAAAGTTGGTTCTCAAACGCACACTACCATATGTTATCACAGCCTAGCAATATTAAAGACAAGCTCCAGGGGAAATTAAAACACAAAAACAAATGAATAAAACCACCCTCTCCTCATAGTAGCTGTATATGCAGAAGCCAGTCATGACTGGTCTGTTACATTCCTAGGAGACTGATTCACAGAGGAATCAATAAAAACACCAAACAGAAGGTGTGCAAGTGATGTGTCTACATAGAGGCTCAGGAACAGCGCTCCGTTATGCTCGTCCCCTCTCCCCAACCACGGGCATCAGCTCCGACAGCTCCCTAGACTGAACGCAGTTCGTGCTGGCAGACAGCACAGGCTCTACAACAAAGCCAGCCCAGAACTGCCTTTCTGCCTCTCGATGGTCGCGCACGTTTAGCACTCGCTCTTCAAAATTAGGTCTCTTGGAAGGAATGGTGGGTGGAAGTGCTCGCAATCTAGATGCGACTCACATGTAGAGCTAAGCTGGGGCGGGGAGGTAGATACCAAAGAGCTCTTAAGTTCTCACCACTTTCTATCTAATTGTAACTCTCCAAAACCTCTTCTGCATCTGCACTGCAGCGGGGGAAGCTCTACCAGAAGACTATGGATAGGTGCAATTAACCCCTAACTGACACACAGATCCCCTGAACAGATCCATGCGCCACACTGTGATCCAAGGCAGCTTTTCAGCACACTATTAGCTGCATTTACTGAGACTAAAGGAGTCTGAGCATATTCCCTAATTAACCATGTCCAAATTACTTGTTCTATGGTTATTATAACACATCTCTATCAGCATACAGAGAACAGCTACGCTCAAGACCATTTCCATACAAGAAAAACCTACACCTCAAAGTAGAGGCCTCACAACTACCTACATTTCATCAACACATTTAAGTTATGCTTAAAGACAGCCCTAAAGGGGAATGTTCTCATCCTTAAGGTGGTCTCTAATTCAGTATGCTGCAAGTTTACTGTGAAACTAGAACAAGCTATTGAAAAAGCATTTGGTACGCAATGGAAAAAGCTGAATTGCTTGTGTTCTACTAACCATTTACAAGTTATCTGATGGAAGGGGGAAAAAATAATCACTTTTTCTGTATGAGTTCAACCCTAAGAAAAGCTTGTCTATTTATTTTTCCACTTTTTTTTTAAAAAAAAAAAGCAGTTAGTACTATTATCTCATTAGTAGCTTCCTAGAAAAGTCACAGAGCTGCAGAACTGAAACTTGTATCATTACTTCTATCATCATACTGGCAAGGAATGCCTCTAGGCCTCCACTACGACTGCTGCTCCTAGCCATCAGCATCGCTTCCAGGTGTCTGGTGTGTAATATCGTCTTCACAAGCTTACGACTTCTCTCAGTAAACACAGATTTCTCATTTGTGCTCTTCACACACACAACATGTCAAAACACAATGACCCTTTATATGGAGTTTCAAATTATTTTACAACAAAGTCAAAAAAAAATCTGCCTAAAAGTTCTGAAAGTTCAGTTGTGATACAAAGTAGAAATGACTTTCTGCACGAAAACAATCCTCAGTTTTATCTATGACAGTCAAACAAGTCGTAGCTGTTCCTTCATGGGACCTTTCCACAGGTAGGAATCGTTGGCTGAGCGATACTTAACACACAGCACTTGCACGTGCTACAGAACGCGGAGGAAGGACCAACACCTCTATGGAGGCAGCTATCAACATATTCTCCCCCCTGCAGAGAGAGTGCATGTGCGCAAAAGGTAGGCACAGGTGATTTTCCAAAGAGGATACAAGAAGTATGCAGTAAAACTCAAAGAAGACTTGGTATTTTCCAGCTCCTAGTCTTATGCTAATTCTTCTATACATTGCTGCCTTGATGAAAAGGAAAGTGTCCATAAAGAAAAAGGCTTCCCAGAACAAGTCACAGCTGTAAGACTGAAGTTAGAAAGAGAGCAAGAGGGCTTAAGTCTATTCTGTTGGGGGGAGGGGGGGAAGGGAAGCCTCACATGTCACACATTACATTAAATTTGTTTCAGTCGTTGAAAACCAGTGTTCCAGGATACAATTTTTACAAACATGTTTTATTTGTCTTGCTTATACCATTAGAACTGTAACTGCTGGCTGTCATTTCCCTTAAAAGGGGAAATCAATTCAAACACATACTGGTGCTTTTCAAAAGAGAGCAATTAAAAGGGCAGCAGCAGCGGGCATTTTGAGATTTCTTAAAACCTTCAAGACTGCAGGAAAGACAAGAGGACATGTGACCAAAAGTGTTATGATTATCCATTAGAGATTTCCATCAGTACCGGCATCAGTTATTTAGGTGATAATACAGCAAGGTCAAGTATTAGTGACAGACAATGTGCAGGTCATAAGGAATGATAAGAGAGTACCAATCCTTACAAAAGTCATTGCTATCAAAGAAATTTATATGTGTTCCAAAGAGAAATCTGAATACTTCACATCAAATACACAGTGGCTGTCCAGATTCTCTCTCATATTCGTTGCAAAATTTTGTTGAAGTGCCAAATCAAAGCTTTGTTGTTGTTCTCGTTGTTTCTAAATTCATACAACTAGAGCAGCAGTTATGCAAGCGCTTTTCTATCCCTAGCCACAGGACACAGGGAGCGCTGTAGCCAGATTCCTGATTACCAAAACCCAGCTATGGGCCTAGTTGTCTACTTAGGGGCATATGCACCACTACACATCTTTCTCTGTTCAGTGCTTTAATTCAACAAGAAAAAGCTGAAATGCAGTTGCTCTACCAAGCCACACTTCACTTTTTCTATCCTGTTGTCACGGGAACATTAAATGCAGTCAACTGCCACCAAAGAAAATCTTTATGAATTTGTAGTTTTTATCCAAAATTGTTGCATCACTTAAATGTCAGAAGTGAGTCTTTGCTTTTTCCTGCCACTTCAGTTAACCATGGAGATGGGATCACCCTGAAAATTGCCTTTTTTTTTTTTTCTTTTTTCTTTTTTTTTTCTTTGCTTTACTCTTAGCAAGGGTGAGGAATCTGAATCTCATGTGCAAGGCTCAAAATGATGCTTAGGACAGAACATGCAGAGTAAACGTCGTTTCATTTCTTTCCATATCCAGGTAATATGAAGCTGGCAACTGTAGTCCTGTCATTATGGGTAATGAAAATAGTCCCTTTACAACAAACTTCCTGTAAGGGAGAACAAATAGATAATAACTCTTCTGGTAACATGTATAGTACACTGGCCAGTGTGTTTTTGGCGTTTCATGTCATCCTGTGAATTTGTTTAATTCACTTGCTGAGCATTCATCTGAGGCATCCCTCTGTTTGGTCTTGGGGGCCCTCCACGGCCTAGGGAAAATACAAAAACAAAGATGAAGTCAGCACAAAGTCTCTTTTTTTTCCTCCTCGCCACCTGGGGAAGGACTCCCAGGTGTGCATTGAGTGTACCAAGGCTATTAATGCAGGGTTCAAAACAAAAAGCCTTGTTCAAACCAAAATTCAACTGTAATCCGCCTTGATACTTTTTAGTCATTTCTGAATTCTCTTTAACCTCCCCCCCCCACAAAGTTGTAATTAATAGCAGCAGAATAAAAAGTTTTACAATAATATAAGGCAATAATTGGCATAAGGCAATACTTAAATGTAAACTCTCTGAGCTAGCTAATCCTTGTTCTGCTTCCATTTTATTCTTCCTTAAAAGACTACCTGTAGCTTAAGCACGTTCTTAAAATACAGGACAAGTAGGTCACCTGGTGAAAACCTCTCACGTCAAGCCACCTTTTAACTAGGTTTTTACCTGCTGTTCACTGGCAATGAGCCTCGGGACTTACTCCTTATAGAGTAACATGCTTTAGGTGCTTTCTGTAACACACAGCTTCACCACAGCCTAACACTGCACTGAATACAGAACACAGGACCCAGTGAAGGACAAAGGACCCTGAGGGGTGTCGTAAAGCCCCAAGCTGTCCTTCCTGGCAATTCTAGGGGGTGGCAACTAAAGACTGGCAAGAAACTGTCTCTGCAAGACAAAAGACAGACTGAACACCAATAGTCTACTAAAACAGAACTATGAAGTAGAGCTGAGAACTCAAATTTAGAAAGTTTAGGAGTTCACGGCTTCATCCCATGCCGGCTTTATTTTTCCTTGGACAAACAAATGGCAAACACCAACACGGAACTAGAAAAGATATCTCTGCATGCCAGAAGTAATAACAAATGTAGAGGCTCTAGTAACAGATGAGCCAAGTAGGAGAGTTCTGTATCGTTAGATCAAGAGAGACCTCCACAGCAGATCTTTACTGAAACAGAATAAAACAGCAAAGCCGGATGACAGCTTTATAAGCAAGTCTGACCTGACAACAGTGCTGAGAAGATCATTAAGTCATGATAAACTTCATCCAAAACAAACAAATAATAACCCAAAACAAACAAAAAACACCCACTCACCAACACTAAGGCTTTCCTTTAAAAACAAAACAAAAAACAACTAAACACTTCTGCTATAAGAATAATTGTGACACTTCAAACTTCACTTCTCTTCAAGGAATTCCTCACTCAACAGTCAAATAAACTTCCATCAGAAATTCACTGACTAAATCAAGTTGGAAGGGACCTCAGCAGGTCGCCCAGGCCCATCCCCTGCTCAACAGCCAGGCGAACTCTCAAGATAAGAGAAAGGTAATTTATTCTTAAGTTACCTCGTGGAGCTCCCCGAGGTCCACTTTGTCCAGAGCCACGCTTGAAATTCTGCTGATAGCCATCCTGAAACACAGGAATCAAAAAAATGCTTCAACGTATGGCCTGACCAATTCCTTGTATTTCAAGAAGCCACCAACTGGAATAAAGAGCTTTTAAAATGATCTGCACTGATAAAACCTCTATTGTCAACATACAATATTTTATTATTTGAAGCTAATCAGAGAAAGTTCTGCTGGTATCTACTTTTTAATCCCATTCCTAGACTGCCAGGGTGGAGCAGCATCTTACCCGCTGGTAGTTGGAGTAATCCCGAGGAGCATTAAACTGCGGCTGCGTGTAACCACTGTTTGGAGTGTTGGAAAAGGAAGGACGGTAGCCATCATATCCTCCTAAGGAACAAGATACAAATCTTCCACTTGGAAATGACAACCTGCTAAGTTAAGCTATCATATAAAGAAAAGGCCACAATGGACTTTGTACCTAAATCTAAGTAAGAAACTTCTAGTAAGTACTGCTTAGTTGGAGGTCAAGCAAATATTTGCAATATCTGTGCTAACACTAATGTGAGGAACAAGACAGAGACTAATAAAATTGGAAGGAAACAACAATTCCATACGTTTCTCTCAGAATTTGAGGTTTAAATGACATTCAATCCAGAGCTAAGCATAATATATTTAGATCCAGGATCACAGTAATCGCTGGAACCTGCAAGGCACTTTTTTCACATTTGCTAATACAACAAATCTATTTTTTATTGTATGGGTTTTTCCTCCACTCTCTAAAAATGAGAGAATATTACAAAATAAGAGAATATTACAATGGTATGTTTATTAGTCTAACCCTAGAATATTTGTGTAGAAAATAGCACATCTTCCCTGATTTAGCATACACAACCCAGCCATTTCTGTAACACCAGAATGACGAATGTTCCTTGTGTTTATGCAGGACTGCAGCATTATTCCTCTGCCCCATTAAGTTCCAGAAAAGATTTTTGTTTCCTTATTTTTACTTTATTCAATCCCCTCTCAATAGAAGGAAATTTGCAGCTCATATATAAAATACACAAATATACTACCTATAACTGGAAATTAAACTCTTGAAACATCAACTTGCAACTGAATTAATCACTTCATAGTTGTTAAGTGTTCAGTTGCATATTTCTTATTTATTTCTATCCTCAGTAGCATCTAGATACTTAATAAACCTATCAATAAGCCTTTATCATACAACAGGGAAATAATGGCAATTTAGCTAGGCTATCTAAACAAGCATTTAAACTGCTTAAGCTAAAGCAAATGCAATTATCATCACGACAAGTTAAAATAGCTTTCAGACACACTACTCTAGTAAGAGTAAGTGAGTTTATCATTTGATATCTTGATACTAGCTTTCTGGAAAGAGAAAAGTGAGAGGTCAGACAAGAATGTCAGCTGAACGTTTACCTCTAAACCCATTTGCCGGTCCCCTGTAACCGTTCATTAAGCCTCGAGCCCCACGAGATCCACCACGAGACACTCCCCGACTGTTGTAGTAAGGCTGACTGTTACGTGGAAATCCAGTATTCTGCTGTGGAGGCTGCTGGTGGTTCCCTGCCACTTGATGGCTCTGGTCCGGGGAACCATGGTAAGTACCAACCACTAGTATGGAAGGAGGGGGGAAAAAACCACAGTATGAAAACCTGAGTTTCTGTTTAGTGTTCTCACATTTGCTCTCCTCTCATTCAGCATTCGAAGCTTTTAATCATCACCAAACACATCAATAAACGCTTTCCAAGAGATAGATAATCTCTAGAATTAATCATCAACTGAAGTAAGGGCAATTTTTTTTCTAAGTAGTTGTACAGATATATACTAAATTTCACCCTCTGCAGGATACTCAAAGCAAGACAGAATATTTGGGTGCAAAATGAAGCAAAAAAGTTTGCATCATCTAGAGGAAAAATCTGGCAAGGTCAGAATATCTGAGGAGGTGTGACATGCTTTGCTTCAGCCTCTAGAACTTCACAGACCTGATTATCTACTCTACCGAAATTACCTTCCTTTGAGTTTTACCTAAAATAAATGTACCTGTTTGGAGCTGTTCTTGCTGGAGATCTGATTGTTCTACTTGGTGAGACTGGCTGGAGAAACTCTGGTTATAACTGGCCTGGTACTGACTTTGTTGCTTAAGGGTTTCTGGCTCATTGACAGGAGGAACAGGTGCATTCATATTGAATACCTGGAAGAAATGAACAGAGTATTTTATGTATTTATGTGGCTGATTCATATGTTGCAACAGCGAAAAAAAAATACAAATAAAATAAATAAATAAAAAGACCCAAATAAATGGATTCAGTGTTAAGTATTTTCTACTCACTGTTTGCATGGACTGGAATGGAGCTGCATTAACGTTGATTCCGCTGCTATGCAAAGGTTTGCTAGATCCAGCCTGGAACACCTGGGGCTGGGTTGCAGTTGGAAGCGATGATGATGATGGGGTCTGATCTGCATTCAGTGACATTGAAGCCTAATAATTAAAAATGAAGAGAATATTATTTTAGCAGCTTCTGAATAGTATTGAAAGCATCAGAATTTCACTTTAACTAAAGTTACAGATGAGGCCTGAATTCACCTCAACAAATGAACATTTTCTACTTCAGCTGAACAGCCTCACTGACAACAGGAAAATGGGAGAGGAGAATCCTAGCAGTCTTCTCCCCCATTCCCTTAAAACACAACTAGAAAAAAAAGTGAAGGGGGAAATAAAATAAACTAACTCATCCCAGCCAGTGTCAACAACAGTGCCCAACGCTGCTCTGAACAGCAACACCTCATGAGCCAAAGCTGGCTTGTTACTTCTAACTAAACACTTGATATAATCTAGTAGAAAATTGAGTAAGTTAAAGATCCTACTATGAAGGATTTACTCCAAGAGGGTGACTCAAAATTTTAAACTTAATGGAACAGGCCCTCCTGACAGGTAATTATTATGAGGTTTTGCTTTCAAAATAGCCATATACTAACATATAATCACACCTGTAAGGAGCGTCCTGCCCACCCAACCCCTTGAAATCTGACTTGCCTGAATCTGGTCAATTGACTCTTTCTGTGGCCGCTGCTCCGTCGTGTGGGAGGGCTGGTACATGGGTTGGGAGGCTGTATATCCCTCACTTGTAGAGGAAACCAAGGGAACCTGCCAAAATAAACCCCCAGGCCCACAAAAACTGAGGTGAGGCTCACACAGAGCTTGGAAAGCAGTATCAGAGAAGCCAGGAATGAATGACCCTCTCTAGTTAAAAAGACAATAAACTCCCTTGCGCAGCATCCAGTGAGAACTTAAGCCAATGAAGTCCAGAACTTTGCACTGCGGGGGACTTTAAAAGGAAACGGATCATCAGTGCTGGGAATGCTCAAATCACCTCTTTAAACATTTAAAAGTAATAGCAGAGATAGTTCAGTGCTTGTGCCCTCAGGTTGAAAAGGCCTCTAATTCTAAATGCAGTTTTCTCAAAAAACTCAAGAGTTCAGCACTGAGTCTCCGTTTTTCAAAATGGGCAATACTTGATAAGCCTCCATTACAGAAAATTTGCACTGTTTCCTAAGCGCTACTAAACACAAACACAAGCTTTATTTTATGCAGTAACAATGCTCAAGAGACATAAAAGAGAGGGGAGAAAAAAAAAAAAAAAAAAAAACCAACAACAAGAAGAAAAAAAAACCCACTATCCCAAATCAGGAACTCATTATTTTCTTTAATCTTCTCGAACCCAGGAATCAAATCCTATTATATTATGCAAGACTCAAGTCAATTAAAAAGGCAAAATATTAAATATGTTACCTGTGTAGCTTCTGGTTGCACAGGAACTTGATTGGGCTGGGCAAGTCTCGACTCGGCATGAACTAAAGTAAAGTAATTTTACTTATTATGTAGTCAAATAAAGCCTTTTAAAGAATATTAAATAAGATGGCAATGCTATTTGACAATGATCATCATGAACTCATCATCATAAAAGTGATTAGCCCCTCTAGCATCAAAGAGTTACATACAAAGCAGCAGGTATCTCTTCAGTATTTTTTTTCTAAATTATTCAACATAATTTAGCTATTTCAGAAAACAAGTTTAAGAAAAGATATATAGTTTAGTGATTTAAAAAAAAACTGAGTTGAAACTTCTAAGGAAAACACAAATGCAAATTAGAATCATGGGTCTATAAATAGTATCTCTCTAAAGTACAAGTGCATGTCATGAAAAATGCACTTTAACATTTCTGTATCATCATCTGTGACAATCCATTTGCTATACAACAGTAATTGAAGCATTTCTTATGGATGATTTGCAAGCCTCCTCAAAACTGTCAGCATTTACCACTACAAACCTGGAGGGCAAACCATCTGTGGCATGTCCAAATTCTGAGCTGGATTCATGGGCTGTGCAGATACAATGGCAGGATCAAGTGCTTGGTTCTCAAACTCCAGCATAGAATCCTAAAAAATTAGATAAAGATCCAGTTTACTGCACTTGAAAAATAATGATTTTCAGCCTATAATCAGGTCGCAGTAAAGCAAGTGTAAAATTATACAATATGGTTTTATTGATGACTTTAAATCAAAACGTTAAAAAAAAGTCATATAGATAGCTAAGCACAGTGAAAACTGTCCACAAATACAGTTTTAACTGAAAAATTTAACTAGAGGTAGGTTTTAAGGGTCAGACAGAAGAAAAGATAATCTGTTCTTCATTCTTCATTCCAAATTAGCATTTTCACTTTGTAGCTAGTGTGACTAAAGTCAACATATTAGCAGAAAAAGAAAAGAAGGAATGTAATAAATATTTGCCTCACTCTGAACTACCTTCTTTGATTACTCTTTTTTGTGGATGAGAAAGTTTTGTTTTTCTCCTCGTGCATCCAGTTATTTCCCAATTTCCAGTTCTTCTAATTTTGGAAGCTGAGTTGCTAGAAACCTCCGCAAACTCTTTTGTTTGGAAAACTTCTGAGAAGCAACCCAAGAGGATCTCTTCAAATTTTATGCTATAAAAGTCTTCTAGAAAGCATAAAACCAGCTTAAAGAAAGGGGTATTTTACAGTTGGTCTCAGTAAGTGGGATAGGCTACAGCATCTACTGGTCCACAATTTTCTGCCTTCTCAATTACTACAAAAAAAAAACTAACGTCAGTAACGTTTGAAGCGCACTTTCATAGCAGCATGAATTTGGGACTTTGAACAACATCTTGGCTCTAAGGTTTTAAGGATTTCTGCTTATTTAAAATAGCAAGTAGCAGGCTCTTTAGATTACAACTGACAGACAGAAAATACTATTTTGTCTATTGCTTCCATCTTGATAGCAGCAGTGAGTCCATCATACCTGCATGAAGTTATATGGGCCCTGCATCTGTGCCATAAGGTCCTGCACTCGCTGTCTTCTAACCAGAGGGTCTGCCTGAGCCACAGTAGTGAGCGTGTGAGGTTCAGGAACTGGAGGAGATGTTGCTTGTGTCTGTTGCTGGAGCGAATTTACAACCTAGTAAGAAAGATGCAGTTGACTTAAATCTCAGTTCGAGCTTCACCAAACATTGCACAGAGCAGAGATAAAACGACTAAGTTTTTGTAATTTATGATAATTCATAATCCATAGTCCATTTCATTAAGTATGTAATCATTACAGTATTCCTGAAAAAAACGATGCTCCCACAGTCACCTCAGTATGCCCAGTTAATGGTCTGGACACTTCACAGGATCAGAAAGTTTAGTCTAGATTTATTTAGCAATATACTTGCTTTCCTGCTAATTATTCTCCAGTAGGAACAGTGGTGACTATTTTTTTTTTCTTAATTTCAATATTAAGAGGATTTTTTTAAAGCAGAATTTGTTTGCCTTGCATTGTCTACATTTGCAAATTTCAAGTTTCAGGAAGATCCAAGTGTGGAGAATGGTCTCTTGTTTGCAATGTTTTTTTGTAAGATGCAAGTGCAGTATGGATTTGTGCATCACTCTCAACTTCTAAAATCCTAATTCTCCTTGGCCACATTTGATTTGACTTATGCTAACCCCACCTGCTTTTGGAGAATAGCAAGCAGGGCTGTTTGGGAGGGGAAAAGATTCTCAAATCATAGCAGAAAAAATAAATGATATATAGTCAAGGTACAGAGACACAGCTCATGGTGTCAAGGAAGCTCTAAGAGACTGAACAATGGCAAGGACTTCATTATATGCAGAAAGGCAGACAGAGTTAACAAGACATACTCCAGCACTGGCCCAGAAGGTAAGTCACAGCAGGATGCTTTCACATACAACCTCAAAGGTAACAGAGTAACAAGGAAAGCTGAACAGAAACTCTGCAAACACATGGCATCAAGTTGTTTGAAAACACAGACAGTTGGCAGGACTGCTGAGGTGCAGAAGCAGCAGCACTTGGACATTCCTGTTCTGCTCTTTAGGCAGCATCCATAATGCAGAAATGCCATTTTCATATTGCATTCATATTCCCTGACTTTTAAGAACAAAATCATTGTTAATAACCTGCCTACAGTTTCTCTACTGCCAGAAAGCATTCTAAATACTCTGAAGACTACAATTTGTTAATAATCTTCCCCAAAAACACAAAACCCTTGAACTTACAGTTACATAGGACGTTATCTAGCACACTCACACTTGAAAGTTCAAAATAAACTTACATAAAATATTTGGTTTCTAATTAACACTGTAGAACCTGGAGACAGTACAGCAGCCACAACAAATGATGACAGGTCTGTAAACTTGAAATCCCTCCTAACCATTCAGCAGCTGCCCATCTGAAGTGGGTTTTCCCTTTCACAGCATAACATTCCCTTTCACAGCTAGGTTTCCCCTAGCTGTACCTACATTCCTCTTACAGATTCCATGCACAACTACTAGCTGCCTGAAGAGAAGTTCTCCTGAGAATTCCCATGAAGTATATCCTAGGGCTGCCAGCAGTGGAAAACAAGCACGACCAACTGCTTTTCTTTATTACACAGTCCCCAAACAGCTAATTATGCACCATTATCAAATTAAATAAGAAAGCACTGCAAGCACAAAAAGTCCTTTTTGAGATACATTGGTTTACAGCACATACATGGAGCCCTTTGGTAGCATAAAGCTATAAAACAAGAAGAAAGCAAAAGTGAGCCAGAGGAGTAGATAAAATTTTACAGGTAAAACCAGCAGCTACTCAACTCCTATACCGTTATATACCTCGTATGATGCTTCATATTTTAGTGTCTTTTTCAAACCTCTCTTTTATGTTGAAGGAAATCGTTTAGGGTCTATTCCTTTAGTCTTGCTACCTCTAACAGATACTTAGAAAGAGTCTAATCACGATGTTAGGATAAACAAAAAAATGGTTAAACTTGCACTTATTAAGTTGCCAATAAACAGGTTCTGTTTCCATCTTTTAACTCAATCTACTTCATGAAAAAAGCTACAGAGATGACTTACATGTAAGGATCATTACTTAACCTAAGAACACTACTTCTTAAAAGCAAAAAGATGAGAAGAACATTTGGGTATATCTTAAGAGAGAATTAGAGAATTTTGTGTATATGCAGGTCCAAGTGGAGATGAGTTGAAAAGACAGATTTTCAGCAGTCTCTCCATGGAACTGAATAAATGCACAACCATGTTGTGCTCTCTCAACTGCATAGCTCAATTTAAGTCCTCTATCTGCAAAGTGGTTTGGGATTTTGTTTGTTCTGGCTTAAATCTCCAAAAACATTATTCCTTCAAGGCACAGTTGTACAATATAAGCTCTCTACAAACCTAGCCATCCTGCACACTCATTTTAGCTGCACCTGAGCTGAATACATAACTGCAGAATGAGTGGTCATACCCAAGCCTATTTAAATATATGGATATAAAATAAAGAAGGACTGGGGGGGGAGAGGGAGAGAGCACAACACTAAAACCTGCCATGATTCAGTGGAAACAGGGATTGCAATTTTACCTGCAGTGCACAAGATCTTACCTCAACCGTTTCAACTGTCCACTCATCTACCTGTTCCTTCTCACTACTGCTGAACTGAGTCTCTGCCATGAATTGTCTGTTTACATACTAAAATAAAAATAAGAAAGGGAATGAAAGTAAAAGTATGTAGCATTAAAACTGTGTAAAGTGACAATCTTTCCAGTGACTAATACCTCAGTTGATTCAACTTCAGTTGGTTCAGTAAATTCTTCTGCCGGATCAGGTTCTGTAAGAGAAACAGAGCATTTTCAGCAAACAAGCCTGTTACAGACCTAAAAGATACAGAGGTATCAGATAAAAATATCCTCTCCCAGTAGAAGCTGAATTCTGAAGAAACAGGGTCCATTTTGAAGTAGTTATTGCTATAGTATTGTAGTTATTGCTTTATCAAAAACATCAGGAATAGTATTATGGACAGTGAGTCTAAGTGCCTGTACTAGAAGTACAACTAGGTATATGATTAAACAAATATATATTTACTCTTAGTGACATTAATACCTATTATTGGAAGCTTACTATACAGTAAGGAAGAATTTGCCTTCTGACAAACTTCAAAAAAAAAAAAAAACCACTTAATTCTGAAGAGGAAAATTGAGCAGAAAGAGTTTGCTTCTATACTGTCAAGTTTCTTCAAGGATGTTGCAAATAACTCTTCCCTCCTAACAAATGATTAACTGTGATGGATCCACTGCAAAGCAAAAAGCTTCACGTGATCAGAACGATAAGAACTTTTATCTTTGTTAATTTTAGATACTAAACATAAACCAATTTTTTTTTTTTTTTTTAATAAATGGACATGTAAAGCTCTACATGTCAATAATTTGGAGATATGTTTTTTGGCACTTAAAATTGCATTACAGATTAATCAATCTGATGAACCAGAAGTCAGGACCAGCACAAGCCCACAAACTGTAGATAAATTGTAACAGATCTTCATCCAGTTTACCAGCTTCTGCTACAGGATCTTCCACTGCAGGTGTGGGTGCTGTCTCTTCTTCCTCACACAATCCATTCTGGTGGTTGTGGGTGCTATCAAAGTAACTTGTTTGAAGAATACGTTCAACCATCTCCTTTAGAGTTTTATCTGAGAAAACACGTAATTTAAGATTAATGAACACTCAATTCTAACTATCTTTTTCTTTCCCCTCCAAATATCCCACATTTTATTACCCATTTGCTGGTTAGCTGTTGTTGTCCTGAGCTGATCACGGACATTACTCTTTCAGAAGTATCATCTATATTATCAGATTGTAAAATACAACCTTGGATCAGAAAAATCTGAAGGGCAAGGACAATAACAACAATACATAGTATTGTTCTGCAAATCTGCAAAACACCTCAAAGTGGGGTAAAGATTACCAGTTTAATCACTATGCTTTTGTCACTACTATTTCCAAAAAAAAGAAAAAAAAAACCTATTGCTCATTTTTGAGTTTGTAAAGTTTATAAAGCTAAAGTTTTGACTGTAACTGAGTTTCTTTGTAATCTACATAATGCCTTAAGAAAATAAATAATAATAAAGCTTCCAGTAAATTAAATCCTTACAGGTTAACTGCATCAGAATAAACAAATTTACAAAAGCAGCATCTCTGTGGGCTTCTCCCCGCTAAGGTAAGTGGTGTCAAACAGGCTTTGTAAGTGAAACAAGCATGAACCTGCATTGCGTGTCTCAGGTGAATGTTGGCCACAGCTGAATGCAGCCACACTGGCCACGCAGCAGGGCCAACAAAAAAAAATAACACAGACTGAAAATGAAGATTCATAATCCACATTTGGCAAGTGATGATGCTCATTATTTGCATCAATAGACATGCACAAAAGTGCACAGAAATAACAGTAAAATTAATCTCCAGTTACAGGACAAAGGAAACCTATAATGGCTGCCAACATCATCACTAAAAGCTCATCTTGCAATTTAGACACACATTCAGGGCAACATTGTCAAGCAACAGAATGACTGGCTCCCTAAGGAGCACATATCATCTTTTTCTTGAAAGCTGCCCCCGTACCTTCCCTCCAGCTCTTCAAACATTCGTGGTGCCTCTCTCCTTGTTCTCAGTAATGACAGTCTACAAAATGTGACCTAACATCACAACCATTTGAGACTCACCCGAGCTCTTGTAAAATGAACATTAAATAACAGGTACTAATCTGGTGCCTCCCCATAATTTTCATTTCAACAGAATATAAAAATAAAATGGCGATTCCTATTCTGTCACAATAAAATTCTTATTACCATTAAGGCCACATTATAGTACAATCCTCTCTTTATGACTCCTAAGTAACTCAGCACTACAGCTATTACTTATCACCTCACTTTCAAAGAAAATAAGAACGTCTTTTGACATCCAATACTACACTGCCACAAACAAATTAAAAACTAAGAAAGCTGTTACCTACTTGACCTTAAGAATGAATAAATAAATGAGACAAAGAGACAACCTTCCTTAAAACTTTGTATGTTTCCAAACGGAGATTTAAAAATCCCCACAGTTCAAAAACACACCCTTAGGATAAGCTATATTTGCAGTAAGACATGATGATTTAGCCTTTACTTACATTTTAGTTTGATAGCATCCTGCAATCTCATAAATATTGGCTTGTTTGATTTCAGAAACAGCTATATCATCACAGAAAAATATTAAGTTCCTTGCCCGACACAATTCTGCTCCACTTACATCCAAAGTAGATTTTTCAGCATACAATAAAATAACTACAATTTTAAGAGGACTAAAATTTATTCTACTTTAGAATAGGGTAATAGAATGCCCTCCCCCCTTTGGCTTTTTTTTTTCCCTTTTGTTAAGCTGGGAGCATACAAGGCAGCAGAACATTTCACTAAATAAGGCCATGTCAGTTCACATATTGGTTCCTGCTCCTGACAAAGCTCCCCATCCAGGCACAGGAGGAAAAGATTTCCAGAGAACAAAGAATTGCTACCGAGCACCAAGAGCAGCAAAATACTGCTGAAATAGCAGAAACAAACTCATGTAAGTAACAACTGCACAGTGCAGTAGGTTTACACTTCATAAGCAATTGGCACAGTCCAGATAAGGTCCAAAACAAAGTAGCTCCTCTAAAAAGCCACACGGATATATTTAACAGTCCAAATCCTTTGATGTCAGATATTGCAATTTAGTTCTAACACAAATTCTACATCTTGTGTCTTAACACAAACAATGTACTTACAGGTTGTTCCACAAACAGGTTTTTCCTTCCCCTCCAGTAAGTCCCACAGGTGAACAGATGCTTGCTCATATTGCTCATTCAACCTTAAAAGCAAACAAAAAATAAGAGTATAACAGATTTCTTACTGAATCTTTAAATGATAATGGGACAAAATGCCATTAACAGATTGGAAATTATAAAATACTTTACTGTAGGTCTACCTCATGTTCATGTCTCTTTCAGGATAAACTAGCTTGTAAAATTCATCCAGCGTTGTCAGCTCCTCCTCTGTCAGTACCGGTACCCCATTTGTTCCTTGTTTCAAGTCACTGCGTACTTCATCATCACCCAACTTGTCCAAAATAAACTGTAATTCTAGCACAGTCTTTAAACGTTTCTGCTCAGCTTCTTCTCGCATCAATTGCTCCCTGCGAGCTGTCTTTTTTATTGTTTTCTGGATCTGCTCAAAACGAAAAAACGAACTTTAAATTGCTTTGCCTTGGGTGAGTTTAGTAGGAGAAACATTAGGCTTGAAATATCTTTTATTGTTAACTAGAAAAGTATGTTGCTGTTGAACTGAAAATTATCACTGTAGCATTAGAGCAGAGTAAGTTGCTAGATAAGAATACCTTTTAAACAAAGTCAAACGCCTACAAATAAGACAAATTTTAGAGTCCTAGCCGCAGATCTCCAAATACGTTGGATCTTGATCATATTCTTACTAGAAGCCTGTATTTCTTTGCATGACTGACAAGTAATTCAGTCCCACAGGTCTAAACCCGCATGTCATTTCTTATAATCTTTTTCTTAATCCAAGTATATAACACCCAAAATACAGCTTCCTCACTTTGTAACTACAGAATATTTTAATCTTTTCAAACAGACCTAACTTGTGACAGTAATGCTCTCTCTCTGAAACCACATATTTTATTTTTGTTTTTAAACAAAAGACTAGATATTCAGATCAAGAGAGGTAACTCTGATTAGGGAAAGTTGCAAGGAAGTTTGAAAGCAGACGGTTGATTTGTTAGTCCTGTAGTCCTGGTCAGCCAAACTGGCTGACCAGAGTTATTAAATTTCAGAACAAACTTTTCTTGAGAAGAAAAAAGTTCTTGGTGACTAATTATCCATAACATGTGGAACCCTAATGCAAGACAAGCAAAGAAATGGCTTACAGGCATATAAATTTATAACTGAATCACGAAAAAAGCTTGTTACTTGTGCCCTTAGAATTACCACATAGTCTGTTCACAAACTAAATACACTTGTTAGACCAGCCTGCTGTACTAGTATTCACTACACAAGGAATTCCACTGAAATTACATTTCTTTCCAGAATCCCTTAACTGTGTAATATTCCCAAATTTAGAATTCTCCAATTCTTTGGCACAGTTGAGCTTTCAGCTTGCCCCCGTCTTCATTCTTCATGAAACGTAAGTGCAGTGGTCTACCGTGCCTTGTTTTGCTTGAAGCCTGCTTAAAGCTTTGCGTGTGCAATTACACACACACACACACAAAAACTGCTCATGTAAATGGAATTGCCTATTACAATTTTAGAATCTATTTTTGATTACATAATTATTTTACATTCTTGAGGAAACAAGAAAGCAAAAAAAAATCCTGGTTTACCGTAATCAGTTAACATACCTATGGGAATTACGAATTTTGAAACATATTCCATACTGCTTGCAAGATATAGGACAACCAAATCTTGAGAAAATGACTATACTACATATAGTCGCTGAGACTTGATGCTCTATACTTGTAAAAAGAAATAAAAACCTTCAGCATCCTATGAATAAGACTGTGAAATACCTCCTTTTTTTCAAAATAAAGTTATATTACTGGCATTAAAGAATACTGCACGACAGCCCTGTTTCACAATCAAATTGTTTCAAGAGCTATGCTTTGCCAAAATACATTGGTTTTGTTACTAAGTCTTTATGAAGTCTTCAAAAAAATCTTTTGGGGAGAGGGGTTAAAAAAAAAAAAAAAAAGAAGCCAAACACACAAGACATCACGATCACTTCAGCTTCTGTAAAGAAGCTACAGTGCATTACCAAGCATTAGTGAAAGACAGTTTGAAGCTTAAGTGCTCCTATTGCAGCTGCTGACCCACCGGACCATTTGCTCTTTACTTACATCTTGGCTCAGAGCCATAAAACTCCTCTGCAGCTCTTTAGCAAACTCCAGATTATTTGTCACTTCCTGATACTTTGACACTGCATCCTTTAAAAGAGAAGAAAAAGCAACATATCACAAACAGAACACATTATATACTTTCAACAAGCAACTTCCTACATATTTTGTTTCTAAGCAAGACAGCAGTAAAGACAACCACCCCTTAATGAAGCTGCCACAAGGATGCCTCAAATATTGATTTTCATTGGCCAAAATACTGCACAGATGAGACTTCCATATCACTAAGGTGTCTGTTCTCCCAAGTATTTTTTCACGATCCCAGGGAAGTAGCTATGGTCGAAGGATACATTTTTTTCTTAGCTCTTTAGTTGAAAATCATCAATAAAATGCTATTTCCAAACTGGTAAAAGTCTCTGAAGTTCCAATACAAATGAATTTATATTTGCTTCATAATTGGAAAAACAGCTGTTGAATCAACCCTTACAATAATATACCTTTAAGAAAACAGTCTCGACAAGGAGACTATATATGCACTACAGCCAACATATCTATAGTGTCACATCTGCTGCACTGATGGCTGTGATATTCACATGGATATGTCTTATTTATAGAACTCTTTAGAACTTGGACTAAGCCACCTCTTTAATTAGGCTACATGATATTTAAAAGTAGCCACAAGGCGACTAAGCTCCTTCAGTTCTCCCTAGACATATTTTCTGAGAAATGTCCAGAAAAATCTCAGAGATATCATTTTTTTCAGATGTACTAGGTTACAATACACGCAGATTTTCACTGCAACCGACTTACGCACTAATCTCAGTAAGCATTAACAAAATATCACAAAAAATCCTCTACTTATTCCCAGCTTCTTATTAACAACAGAGATGTTCCAGAAAATAAGGAACTGAGGGCAAATCAAAACTCTATTAAAAAAAAAAAAAAAAAAAAAAAAAAAAAAAAAAAAAAAAAAAAAAAAAAAAAAAAAAAAAAAAAAAAAAAAAAAAAAAAAAAAAAGGCGTTTTAAAAAAGAGAAGTAAAGATCCATGAACACAGATCTGGATAATAATTTTGTTTTTTGTTTTTACCAGTTGATCTTGATTCAGACGTTCTCCCTTATTCATTCGTTCCTGGTAATCATCAAGTTTGCTCTGAAAGAAAAAAGAAAAAAGGAAGTTGATATAAAAATGAAACCTAGTTACTGCTCTCTTTTGTCTTGTCTCATGAAATTATGAGCCGTGACATCATAATAAATACTGTACTATACTACAAAAACATACAATATTCAAGTAAAAATAGTATCAGAGGAAACTTCTAGATCAAAAATGCTTCTGCAAGAGACATATATTCTCATCTTGTTTAGTTTGACTACTACCATAATATATCTTCACATACATTAAAATTACAAGAAAACACACATTTAGCCTAACGGGGACCGCAATCTCAACATGCATTTACTTTAGTCCCAATGGCAGAGAGTTAAACGCAGTTCTGAGTAAGAGGTCACTATCACTACACCACTACAAAACCAAAAACAAGCCTAGAATCACACTCTGTCACTGCTAATGAGATTCAAGATCGCAATTCTTTGTATATATCAGTTATCATAAATAAATTGAATAGTTTCTGATCTTTTGTGCAAGAATGCCTACCAACACAATTCATACGAATAGCTCTAACATTTCTCACTGGAAAGCACTCAGATATTTTTTCTCCCCATGAAAAGAGAAATAATTAGGTTAGCTTTTAGCTGAACCAGTTTTCTAATCTGTTTTCTTACATAACTGTAAAAAACACTAATATTAGCAAAAAACAGGTAAACTTGCCTAAAGTAGCAACAGATTTAATGTGTATTTAAAGTGCAACAGATTTTATAGGCTTTACTTACTTTCTAAAGCCCTTAAGGATAACAGACCTAAAAATCAAACATTACATTTTCAACACTTCTACAGATGATAGACCTTGACCATATTTTCATATAAAATCAAACCATTAAAGTGAAGGCAATGAGAATCACTTTTTTTTTTTTTTTTGATTGTAAAAAATACTTCAGTTAAAATATTTTTGGGGATTTTTTTTTTTTTTTTTTTTTTCTCTTTCCTAAAGCTAACTCAACCTCTATAGCCCATCTCAAGACTCGATCAGAAAAGCTTCATGTATTTTGGAAATGTTGAAATGAACACTTTAACAGAATTAGTCTTTTTGATATGTCACGAAGGGTCAAAACGGTTTTCTTTCTTGGAAAATTTCACAGGTTAGATTTAACACGTAACTACGGTATCTTTGACTATGTCAAATAACTAAGAACTCCCTAAATTCCAATTAATGTAGTACCATTTATACAGGTATTTCATGCTGGGGACATATGCGAACAGTGAAGCAGCAGCCAAAGGCAGCAACCAGAATTTGAGGTAGATCCAAAAGAAAAAGTCTGAACAACATTCAGCCCATTGGAAATCTACCATAACAGGAAATAAAATTAATTTACAAATACAGTCTTATTTAGAATAGGTGACGCCATGGTTGGACAATGCAGACAAGACTGAACAAGCAGAAGTAGCTTTAGTGATTCAAGAGATCCTAGTGAGTTGCAAAGAGCTGAAAGGCAGGCTAAAGAGCCCAGCTATTTCCAATGCTCCAGGGCAAAGCTAACCAGGCTATCTGAAGCCCCCTTTGATTAAGGTGGCTGAAGTCCTACAATTGCCCTTGCAGACAAATTCTAAGAAGTTCTTGTTTGATGAAGCCACACACTCCATTCCTGCAGATTCTTTCCCTTAATCACACTGGTGCAAATGTTTGTGAGGCTTCACAGCAAATTAGACTGCCAATGCCAGTCTGGTTAAATGGTGTCTACAAATGCATTAATAAATCCCCAAACAATTTCTATGACCCACTTTCCAACGCAATCACAAATAGTAACAACAGAAGAAAAAAACAGACAGAACAGCAAATTCTGGAACAACACGACTTACGTCAGCTTTGCTGAAGAAAACACACATTGCAAAATTATGCTGCAAAAGGCGCACATAATCCTTTTGCTGGCCAAGGGCATGGGGAGGGAGAAGATGAAAATACCCTAAACTAATGTAATTGTTTCTGCATACCTTTTTCACATAGTCTTACTTCAGCATGATGCTGCCTTCAGATTGCACATATCCCAACAACCTGTTCTGAGAGTGCACAAGTTCTTAAATAACCTGATGTTCTCAAGTCTAAAGTAAATTCTATGATCATTTGGTTCTCATTCAATTGTATCAACTAAAAGGAAAGGCTAATATACCTATTTTAGCCATTAAGAATAGAGGAGGGAAAAAAAGTTATTCCTTCCTTTTCTATAGAGATCCATATTCCTACTACACAAGGTAAGGGATGGAAAGCTTTTTCAGCTGCAATGCAGGGAACAGGCAAATATGTATTTGGTTACACAGCACAAACGTTATGAGAGCTAAGTATTCCTCTTACAATCTTAAAGGCAGCAGAGCAGTGTAAAATCAAAATACAGCATTATACAAAAACACGAAGTGTAATGTTTTCCTGTTAATCTGCACTGGCAGCTAACAGCAGCATTAGTGATGTAAAACAACTGCAGCAAAACTGCTTAGCAGCCTACTGCAGTGCCTGCAAGGAGCAAGGACGCTCTTGTTTTTACCTCTTCTGCAACTTCAGCCTTGCTAGCCCTGCAGGATATGTGTTTTGAACCATAAAAGCCAAACCAGCAGAAAAAAAACATGAAGTGGCCAGAGCGAGCACATGAATCATCTATTAAGTGGCTCATGAGTGAGGAGCCTCCAGCGCTGCAGACGGAAACGGCCGTTTTTCGGCTCCAATTCAGACCCCTGGAGCAACTCGGGGCTCCCTGGGAGACAAGCTCTATGCACAGGCTATAAGTTCAGGGGCGACGCGTGTTTAAGTTTGCCCCACATCTTATTTTAATAGGTATCTGAATAAGAAGTTGCTTTATGGTAACTGATACTTCCCTTCACATTCAAGTCCTCATTAACTTCTCTGATCTGCCTCAAAAATGTCAGTCTAAAGGGGAAAAGTGCAGTTACATGACATCAGCTTCAGTAACAATAGTGGCTTTAAAAATCCCTGACCACTCAGCTGTGCTAATACAATCATTTACAGGGCTCTGCTTAAACTGGATCACTGGAATGATCTGAGTAAAAATAACTCTTAAAAGAAAAGGTGCCAGAAGCATGGGGGAGGCACTATATATAACTAGATCACATCAATGATATGGTTTATACCAGCTACATCAGCACAACTGCACAAGAAAAGCTACAGTGTGCAAGAGGAAAGAGAAACCTCTTCAGCCATCTGAAGCAAGCAAACTTTGTAATACACGCTGAGTTATGAGGAGAAAAAAAAAACAGGAAGGGAAGAGGGGAGTTGTTATAAATCTGTTTTCTAAAATAGCTCAGAAATTGCATATATTTTAAGCAGTATTGAGCAATTGAAATAGCCCAAAATTAGAACAGAGGTCCTGAACATTTCCCATGGAAACAAATGATAAGCGAAACTCCAAAACAAAGTTTACTGATGTGTTTTATATTTGCATATTAGAAATTATTAGCTCTTCAGTACCATTCTCACACTAATACGAGTTTAATTTATCAACAAAACATGCTCAAAAGTGATCAAAAATATTCAAAAAAGGTAGAAAAATAAAAAGATGCAGTAGCTTTGAAGTGGCAACAGGAATGCAATCAGAAGTTAAGAATCTGCTGGGCAGAGGGGAATAGTTGTCACATTCACTATCTGGTTACACTTCATCTCTTCTTCAATTTGTGAAAACCGCAAAAGGTTTTTCAGGTTTGATTTGTACTAAGAAAGGTGAAAAAAAAGTATTACCACTGTTTGTACTTCCAAACACAAAAAACTTAAGTCTTCAGTTTAAACTGAAATTACTTTGAATTAACAGCTGTAAATATGCTTGCTATCTGGGAAGCTTTACAGTTCAGGAAAGGAGGAAAAAAAAAAAAAAAGCCACCACCCACTATCTGTTCTGCATTAAACAGTTTTTGAGCAAGTCAAAAAGCAGTACCAGTTCCAAGACTGCAGCCTTTCAGACGACTTAAAACCACAACACAAGGATTACTCCTCCAAAAGAGGCTCTTCTCCCCCTGCTCCCTACAGAGCCTTCACCACACACCAGCCTAGAAGGCCTTCTGCCCAAAAGGACAGCTGGATGTTCGAAGAACCCCATGCAATCAACTCTTCCTTCCCAAAGGGAACAGAACTGCAGGTGGTGGATCTTTTAAATGCAAAGGAACCTTCCTTTTAAGTAGAGCTGCAACTCTAATGAACTGACTATAGAAAACAAAACCAAACAACAACAGAACACTTGCTTACTTCTGTAACCTCAAATAAGTCAAGAGACAAGTGAAACTCCTAAAAGTTCTGGCAGCTTTATATATATGTTATCTGTTGATGGTAAGCATTGTGAACTAACAGATAGGCAAAGATCTGTTTTTTTTCTCTGCAGGTATTTCCCTGATAAATTGGTTTCTTTTACAAACACAAGTGAATTCTAGAACACAAGATGAGATTTGTCTTTGTGAATAAAAAGCTATCAATAAATACGTCCCTTTATATCAATCTTCAGTTGTCTTTGTGAATAAAAAGTTATATGTCCCTTTATATCAATCTTCAGTTGATCCATACAACTACTTTTATTTTCACTTTATTATACTTAACCTAGCCATATCCCACTACATAGTGTGAAAACATCACCAGCCATAAAACACATTATATAGCAACACTGCCCAAAAACTGCATTTCCCCATCGCTTTTTTTCCCCCAGAACAAAAGCATTAAAAAAACAACAAAGCAGCATCACAGCAACTTAAAATAAATGGTCATATTCAGCCTGTAAGAATCAGCACAACTACCTAGTTAACAAACTTCCCTACATTTCATAAATAGTTAAAAACAGAACAGGGAAAGCTGAAGCAAGGAACTGCCAAACATCAAATAATTTTATATATACATGCTTGTTTTTAAGAATGACCCTTAGCCTTCGACAACTGTCAAGAGATTTAAAAAAAAAAATCCAGAATTCAATGCAGTTTCACACGGATTTTACAATTCCTTGGTCTCAAATCATTTTTCATCTTTAAAGATAATTGTGGAATATCCTCATTC